TCTTAGGCATTTGCTTGAAAAATCTCAATGCATATAGATCTTGTCTATTTAAGTAAATGTCGTGTACTCTAAACGCCCTGCTAGAGAATACTGGCATTAATCATTTTCATGAAGTAAAGCACCAAATTTCTTGAAAACATTCTCCTGAACCTTATCAAATGGTCTGCCAATGGATTCGTCCCTTTCGCCTCTTTTCGGAGACATACTTGAGCACAATTACACTGATATTTTGTCTCAGTTTACACTAAATCAAAAGCAAATCGTACGAGTTCTGTAACAGCATTTCCCCAGTCATCTTACATGTCTGCGTTATGTTTATAGACAGTGTTTTGAAACTCTATTAGGCCCGAATTCAAAACGGTGATTTTAGCCTGGGATCTGAGCTCGACTCAGGCCTGCGAATCTAAATTCCTCGATCCAAGATTGCTTGCAGTGGATTAGACATATTCAGAACATCGACTTGAACCCCGAATCGGACAATTTGTTGTATTACCTTCAATTACGAGTAAGGATTCGAACACTGAAATTCCAGCTAATCACGTTTTAGTTACACCATTACGACAGCCAATCACCATCGAGAGTAATGTTTACAAGATTATGACGGAAATTATGACTCGACGAGTTTTTACGGAGGAGAAATCTCTCCTTGCACATCAAAAGTTACTTTTATTACTATAATGACAATCAAATTATGATCAAATTATAATGATTTATGGTATTGTGTTTCAACGTGGCTGTGTTGTTATATAATAACAAAGAAATTCATAGAGGAAAACAATTGTATACAAATTGTTGATATAATCCGGGACAGGTGTCAATATTCATAACCAAAGCAAGATGAATCAATGCAGGCCGTAGTAACCTGGCTAAGTTAGGTTAGGTTTCCTTCTGTTCTTTTAACCACACATTTCCCCTGATTAGTAATGTTAAGAAAAGACTTTCCTTTATTAATACATTAATATCAAAATACACTCAGAATTGAGTCAATTATATTGAAAATACATCAAAATAGTGTTCCTAAAGAAAAATGCTCAAAATATAGAAGCGTCAGCGTTCTTTACATTTACCCGCTTGGTATTCATGGACCCTAAACACGAAAGTGTTGTAACACATTAACCATTCAGTAATCAGAATCTTTCTAATCTAAAACTATTCGTTGCGAAGAATCTCAAAGCAATCATCAGATGATGAATGGGAGGTAGAGGTGAACCATAGCCAACAGTTCTGTCAAGTAGATGCTCCATATCACGGAAATCTCCCTTGCTGAACCTATATCGTTGTTTAAATTGCGTGTCATCATAAAGATTGATAGGATTCTGCCTATCTACCATCAGTCTTCTCCCCACAAAATTTCCGCGCTCTCTGTCAAAATTCATGTTGACTTGCTTGAAGGATCGACCACCAAACCTGCCTCCAGGCTGGATTAACGCGAGGATCGACAAATCCGATCTCAAACCCGGTTTGAATTTATGTGTTAGCTCAAGCCAGCGTTCTGAATACCAAAAATCTTCAATCTTCGCTCGATCCTTGGTTTAAACCTTCATGAGGTTTCAAATCACTGTTCTGAGTTCGGCCCTAAGGTTTCTACCCTGCTTATGCCTGTCCTGCGCTTGAGTGGCATTTTATTGTCCATAGTTATTGCTTCTGAACAAAACAAACAGTCATGTTTAATATCAAATATAAAAGCACCTGATGGCAATATTGGTGACTCTTCCTCCTGTATCACACTAGCAGATGACTTCCTTGTTGTAGCTGTTATCGTGCTCTCACAAGTATAGTTGTTGCTACAAACAGCATGAAGTCTCAGTGGTGGTAGTCAACAGATGCTAATCTGTTGAAGCCCATCATCTCGCTTAGTGTCCTGCGGCCCTTATCTCCAATTGTTGCAACATGAGACGAACTCAGCTTCCCATTCCAAATTATACAAGGCACATCCATTATATGAAATAGGAATAAACTAGTCCAGTTATTACCGCTATGGGCCTCTTGCATACCAAAGTAATATCAAACAAAATCCCATGTTTGCCCTCGATAATTTATCAAATATCATATCTCGTTGCAAATATATGTTAACATAAAATAGCAGCCATCTATTTTTTTCTTACCCTGATATAAAGGTTTTACAGGATTGCTCGTGTCTGGAAACCTATGATTAGAGACTTTGTTCATATTTCTATCATGTTTAGCAGCAAATATATAATGCACTATAGAATGGCAGCCATCTTGGACGCCATCTTGAGTTCCTTAATTAGCACAAGGAAGATGTTTGGGGTTTTTTATGTCTTTCGTGAAATTTTCAGCTTGTTGCCAGTTTGTTCCAGGTCTGAGGTCTATTCCAGCTATGATTCTTGGACCAGCAGTCGTCGCTCAAAAAACTTTCTTTACTGGGGGTCGATGAATTCCAGAATGAACACTGTTACTCCTGTTACCTCAGTAGGGTTGTCAAAATCTTTCATCCGTTGCATTATATTGTCTAATATAATTTTGTAAGAGATTTTTTTTTTTACATCTTATTGTCAAATTGAGCTAGAATGTTTGATATGGGGACAAGAAATGAGACACTGCAATGTTGCTTATTAAAAATTGTACTCATTAATTATTACTGCACACCTCCCCCCTCCCCCCAAAAAATAAAAATAATATATATATATATATATATATATATATATATATATATATATATATATATATATATATATATATATATATATATATATATATTCTCTGAGAACAAACAATTTAAGGAATCAGGGACAGTATAAACGTGATAGTAGCAAATTAGTTTTTTTTCTCTTCAGTTTTCAGTCGCTCTGAAGAAAAAGACCACCAGACCAGGGTGTGATGGGTCCCTGGACACTATACAAAGGGAACGTCTCATGCATCATCAAGAGTAGTTATTTCATGAGAGACACCGCCTGTTGCCCGACTTTTTTGTTTCTTAGATTCCTCAGACATGTAACATCAATCGCCTTTATTGAAGTCTTATTTCTGCTTACAGTACTGTAGTTGTTCGTATTTGTGATATATCCAACATCGACTCCTGAACTATGTAAACATATTACCTATTCGTAGATTATGAAGATATAAGTTTGAGATATCATGAACCCACCAGACGGCATTAACACGGGACACATGTTCCTGGATGCATCAATGGCTTGATGAAGTCAAGACTAAATTTCAAGCATATTGTTTATCAACCAACTAGGTGTTTTGTGCAAGAGGAATATTTCACATTTTAACACACTTCTTTCTTAATGCGGAATGACCAATATAGCTGCTAAGTTCACAAAGACACCAAAGGGGCGGTCCTTAGAGATTAAAAGAGATACTGTAAATATCAATGTAGCTGTTGGACGCAAAATATATTTTCTTGATCCTTTTGCTAATATGGTTCTAGATCAAGGGACTATAAGTGTTCCCTTAAAGTACTCGGGATGATGTGCATGAGTAGATCATTGTAGCTACTGAAAGGGGCCCTAGTTTATGCTGCGCTTATAGCTTCTGTATAAATAATAATTTCATTTAAAATATATGCTGCTTATATCATCGTGAAACCAATTAAGGTGTATTTGTTTTCTTAGTCTCTAGAATCTGGATGGTTACAGACAAAAATAAATAAAATAAAAAATAAATAAAAAGGCGTTATACAAGATATGAAGGATAAGTGTTTAATAAGCAAGTCTGGTTTTGATAGTTCCGAAATATTGCGTTACGTGTAAGTCATTCCATCTTTCCAGGAAGTATTTTTCAAATTATTAAAAGTATAACTTTATGTGAAGCTGTGAAGCATTACTATAGGTTGAGAAGTATATCCGAAATTAAGAAGATCTAAAGTGTTGCTCAACTTCTTTTTCAAACTTGTCGTTTTTTTTGTCTTTGGTCAGCCAGAAACAAATTTGTCATACAATAAGGTTGGATTAAACCAATACCCCACCAGGAGGAGACACCGCGTGTATCCGGTCATCTGCTTCTGGAGTAGTTAATTAGATGGTGGTAAATGGGACTCGCATTTCCGTGCACAAACACACACAGGTGACTGCGCATGTACGCGTGGAAATGTACACATCCTCACACATACATTTTATACGAAATAAATGCACCCACGCAAGTACGCACTGTGTCATGCACTTCCATACGAACGCTTGCGAGCGCACTTAAGAACGTAAGAACTTAAGAATGGAGGAAACTGCAGCGGGCCTATTGGCCCATACTGGGCAGTCCCGTTTACACCCAACCCTTATCGCTCATATATCCATCCAACCTATGTTTGAAGCTATCCAGCGTAATCGAGTTAATGATGATTAATGGTAACTTGTTCAATTCATCCACTCCTTTATTTCCAAACCAATATTTACTTATCTCGCGCCAAAATCTAAATGTGTCTAATTTAAAACCACTGTTATGAGTTTGCTCCTGGTTGCATAGTTTGAGTACCTTTGTTATATCACCTTTGTTTAGCCCTGACTTCCATTTATACACCTCTATCATATCGCCCCTCACTCTTGAGGGAGAGCAAATTAAGATGCTTAAACCTGTCTGTGTACTCAAGGTTCCTAATGCCCGGGATTAGTCTTGTCATTCTCCTCTGAATTCTTTATAGGGATTCTATGTCTATTCTGTAATACGGTGACGAGAACTGAACAGTGTAATCCAGGTGAGGTCTCACAGGCGCAAGATATAGTTTTAGGATAACCGCGCGCCTTGTAACTAACACTCCTTTGTATGAACCCAAGTACTTTGTTAGCCTTGTTTCGGTTAAGATTATAATAAAAACATATTTGAATTTCACTCAAAAGAAGCACAACAATTTCACTCACTGAATATGAAACCGTAATAATAAATAAATAAATTTCAGTATAATTACCATACACGTTTCATCACTTGCGAAAAAACTCAGTGTAGGAAAAAATCTTTATATCCCATGAGTAACGCTTCAAACATATCTCTAATGTCCTTCATTCTTCTATACCTACATTTATAATCAGTGACTCTCAATTTACCTTGTAGTAAATTACCGGTATGGTGGAGTCGCCTCCTCTGTGACTTCCTGGGAACGATCTTCAATTGATCCAGACAGCTATATTTATGAACAGGAAAAGGGAGGGTAGCGCAGGCGCTGCCTCGTGCTCCACGAGGTAGTACGCAGAGTTATTCCTGCCTCCCTATTGACTTTGATGTTTGTTGTTACGAATACAGAAACAGACGTGTGTGTATGTATGTGTTTTGATACGTATTTAATCAATCTTTTCATCATTATATATATATATATATTTTTTTTTGTGAACGAAGATCTATGAGTTTTACCCCCCCCTCCCCCCCGACATTGCCTCTATTTATTGCCACAACTCCGGTTGTTTCTTTGCCTTTTTTACCACAATGGGCAAGAGGAAAGATTTAACAAAATAGCAGATAGCGTCAATTATTAGTCTGCATAAGGGCAAGAAACCTGTAAAGGAAATATCAAGAATTGTTGGTGTAAGTGACCGATCAGTTCAGATCTAGATTAAACGATTTCGAGATGACGGCGGGCTGACAACACCAGGGCACAGCGGACGGCTGTACAAAATACCGGTACAAAATTTGCTGATACTCAATTTTAGTTGTCAAAACGATATGCATGTGAATTCAATTATCATTTCTAGATCGACTCTGGTGGCGGCTGAAGCAAACATGAATATTAGGCTCGTATAAACAATGGTCTGGATAATATTTTGCGGCAATATTCGACACATAGATATTGTTTTGGTTTATCGGAGAATCTAATGAATAATAATAATGGTTGCCCGTTGTGTAATGAAGATAGTGGGCAGAAGAGCCACCTAGGCGTGATTTGTTTAAGGTGTAGAAACTGTTGCCAACACAACAACCACACCCTAAGTTAACGAGCTGGATGACCCAGTGTCAATGAATAATCAGAGAACACCGAACAACTCGCCAACTGCACTGGCTACCCATTACCCTGGAACATACTCCGCAAATCGATTAGCATCCAGGTTCTCAATTACTTATGGTTAGACATAGGCAAATGGCGCAAAGAACTTGCCCAAAGTTTTACCCTGCCAGAGGATCGATACCGAGTCCGTTCGCTTGCGAGGCGAGCATGATGACCATTACACTATAAAGGTCGACTATTGGTGTATCTAATCACACACACACAATGAAAACGTGGATAAGATAAATCTTGATAAAATCACACGGGAAAAGGGAAACAACGGAGCACCTTAGTTTTCGTCTTTATTCAAGACATCTTCAGAGGCAACTGGATTACATGGTTGTTGTTGTTGTAGAGATTGTCGGACCGTAGTCCGACACGGGCCTTTGCCTATAGGCGGCCCGTTTGGTGGTTCCGGCTGGAGCTCCAGGAGCAGCCAGACCGGATTGGGATGGAGGTGGTCCCACCTGCAGATTGGAGGGATACTGCAGAGGCTTAAATATACAGGGTAACCTTAAAAACATGAGGTCAGGTCATAATGATGTCATCCACTAATCCCCACACCAACACACACGTATATATATATATATATATATATATATATATATATATATATATATATATATATATATATATATATATATATATATATATATATATATATACTGTATATATAACGAAGAGGAGAACCAGGGAAACACAAACATCTTGACTAAGTTGGGTTTCTTTAATCACTAACGTTTCGGAAAAATCATTTTCCACCATCAGAGCCTAGAAAACAAAAAGTTTAAAAAAATACAGGTGATATACCATAAAAACATAACATTAAACGAAAATTTACCTTCCATAAAATTTAAAGAAAGAGCACTCCAATATAAAACAAACAAAAATGACGAGAGACCTACGTACAAAGTCAGCAGATTTGTTAGACAAGATTTTCCCTTTGTAAAACCATGTTGAGAGTCGTAGATTAATTTGCTTTTCTCTAAATGCGATCGGATCCTATCTGCTATAATTGATTCAAAAAATTTCCCCACTACTAACGTCAAACTGGTCGGCCGGTAATTTGACGCTGATACTCTGTCTCCCTTTTTGAATATGGGTACTACATTTGCCTGTTTCCACAAGTCTGGCACAACTCCAGTGTCTCATGATTTTGTAAATAAATTTACTAGGGGTCCGCTAATCTGTTCCCTACACTTTTTCAAGACTCTAGGGAAAATTTCATTCGGCCCTGGGGATTTTGTCTTCTTTAGTTTATTTATCCTCTTAAGAACCTCCGCTTTTCTGGTAGTGATATTCATTAATTTCTCCTCTTCCTTTCCCCTAAATATCAGTTCCACCTCTGGAATTTCCTGGCGAATTTCTTCTGTGAAAATGATACGAAGTAGCTGTTCAATGCTGTGCTTATTTCTTCACTGCCATTTATCCCTTCTCCCCTCCCTGACTTTAAAGGCCCAACTTTGTCCTTGACCTTTGTTCTGTATACCCCTTTGGAGTGTCAATTTTACGCTCCAGGGATGCAGACAACGTCTTTACCCCCGCACGAGACAAGTGCACTCCGTCACCAATGTACAGGTAGCCGATGCCAAAGAATCGTTGAGAGCTATCAATGAATGCCCAACCATTGTTTGCACAATGTTTTTCCAGTCAGCAATTTATAGCAATTGCCCTGGACAGCCATTCACGACCAACCCCTCTTCTAGGCAAGACACCACATACTATCGGGATCCCTCCCCATCTCTAATCTTTCCCAGCGCCTCCCTATACCTCTTGAAAAGTTCCTCACTCCTAACCTTTCCTATGTCGTGTCCTCCCACACTAAGACACACTACTGGATTGGTACCCTCCCCTGACAAAACCCTATCTAACCTCTCGGCTACATGCCCTATCCCAGCCCCAGGAAAACACACCCTAGTCCTACGTGTCCTATCTCTTACACAAAAAGTCCTATTTAAAAACCTCACCTGGCTGTCCCCAACTACCACGACCATACCTGTGGGCAGGGTTTGTACAACTGCCCTTTCCTCTCCTTGCTCCATACCATCCTGCCTCTTCTCTTCCCTGCCAGCTTCCTCCAGCACCTGGTTGGGGTTACTACACTCCACACCCTGGTCAGCTTTCCTGAGTATGACCCCAGTCCCCTTGGAGACAACCACTCTCCACTCCTGCTCCTCCTGAAGGAGTTCAGTTATGAGGGCTTCATTTTCCCCCTTTATAGTGTGAAGTTCACTCCTCAACTGCCCCAGCTGCCTTAACAGAGTGGCCAGTAGGTCGTTTTTCCTCACACTCCCCTCCTCTTCCCCCAGGACACAATGATCCAAAGCGGCCATTTTCCTTGGCCACTAACGGGAGCACTTGGGGGCACGACCTTCTCCAAGCTGGGTCAGGTAGCTATGAGCTATAGGGATGGGTGTAAGTGGGACTGCCCAGTATGGGCCAATAGGCTTGCTGCAGTTTCCTCCATTCTTATGTTCTTATGTTATCAGCATATATATATATATATATATATATATATATATATATATATATATATATATATATATATATATATATATATATATATATATATATATATATATATATATATATATATATATATATATACATATATATATATATATATACTCGTATATGCCTTGAAGAACATTTTTGTTTCTAGTCTTTCAAACGTTTTGAAGGAGTCTTGTATCTGTGATTCATAACACTAAATACCAAGATATACAAAGTAGGCAAGTTGTTAACGGTAAAAACATTTAGTAATTTATTAAGTTAAAAAATCAAACTAGGTATACGTCTAACCTTCCGAGTTATTATAACTTCACCATCTATTACTGTGTGCATAAAATGTATTGTCTGGTGTATAGTAATGATACAGCATCTTTGTAATTCATAATATTAATGCCGAAAAACTACAACTTATCGCATTTAAACAACACTCAACGTCATTTGTTCCACATCTAAGTCTTCATCCGCATATTTTCTTGGCCTGACATCTGATGATAATAGGAGTTGCATTACTGAAGCGTGGGATGGGAGTAGATGAATATCTCCCCCATAAAGGTGAGGAAGGCGAAGCTAGAACCAAGAAACATCACGTAGAAGGCGCCTTGTAAGTGTCGTAGTCCCAGCACCTCCTGTGTTTCGTCATCCTGGAATTTTTTTTAAGGTCTTATGTGCATGTTGTGATTAGAAAATGCCATAAAAATCCATATGAGAGTGGGAAGTATACATACAAACAGGCACACCTGAAGGTAATGAGACAAATCACAGGACAAGTGAGGTTGTTTACCTCACCCAGGCTCGCTTGGGTTGCCTTCTCATCCATTGCTGCAGCCTCCCTGTTTTCTTTCACTCTCTTCTCTATAATTTTTCCTGTCCAGTAATTGATAATACCTGCGTCTTCCAATTTGGATTTTAGCTGGAGAAAGCGTCCATAGAACGGTGCACCTTTCCTGAAGAAAAACAAATGTGATTTTATCAAGATTTATCTTATCCACGTTTTTATTGTGGATCTACATGAAATATATATATATATATATATATATATATATATATATATATATATATATATATATATATATATATATATATATATATATATATATATACAATGAAAGCGTGGATAAGATACATCTTGATAAAATCACACAGGGAAAAGGGAAACAATGGAGCACCTTAGCTTTCGTCTTTATTCAAGACATCTTCAGAGGCAACTGAGGCGCTCCATTGTTTCCCTTTTCCCTTTATGATTTTATCAATATATATATATATACTGTATATATATATATATATATATATATATATATATATATATATATATATATATATATATATATATATATATATATATATATATTTCATGTAGATCCACAATGACAACGTGGATAAGATAAATCTTGTTTTATTCAAGACATCTTCAGAGGCAACTGAAGATGTCTTGAATAAAGACGAAAGCTAAACTGTTGTTTCCATTTTCCCGTGTGATTTTATCAAGATATATATATATATATATATATATATATATATATATATATATATATATATATATATATATATATATATATATATATATAAACCCTAGTATAGTTAAAGGAATAATTACAACATAGTCGCATAAGACTTATATTTGTATTCATGCGCTGATATATAAAGTGACCTAGGATCTCTTCATGGTATGAGAGAAGGAAGTATTTACTCGATTGACAGATGGACTTACACTAAAACAAATCTAAGACTCTCCTCCCTCGGTCACTATAACCCCTTCGTTTAGTTTTACTGAGTTACCACTGATCTGATCTGTGTGGACTAATATACTTACTTATTTACATATTTGTACCTACATATAGTAGGTTAATGCTATGAATGAATGAAGTATAAAATTACAAATAGAATTTAATAAAAATAAACTATAGAGCCATTACTAAAAGCAAAATTAACCACATTAATTACAACAACAATAACATATAATTAATAACGACAATAACAATAATATTAATAACACAGTAACGATAAGGGTTTTAATATCATTGTTGTCATTTTCATTATCATTAATTTGGACTTGAATTAGTAAACATCCTCATCCCAGGTATCATAAATATAATTTTTTTCCTAATATAAAGAATCACCCATTGCACTGACTTCACCTTGACCTTTTATAACATGTGTAAGGGCAGAAACGATCCTCCGGCTGGTTACCGCTGCTAACTCGCTCGTTTGCTGGTGCAGACGACACTTGAGGTGGTTGGACAGAAGTGAGAACGGCAGCGAGTCTCTGCGACACCGGCAGATTCAACCCAGCCGCCATACAGTCAGTATCTAGCTACCCTGCTGTCCGTCAAATTCTGGCTGTGATCTCATCATAGGTCCTGGACTCGTGGGCTGTGTTCCCAGACCTTCACCTATCAACTGCCAACTCTCTGGTCATCTACCACTCCCGCATACCACGACCGTCAGTTCATCACATTCCGTCGGTGCCCCGGTGTTCTCCTGCCTTTTCAAGACGTCGCTGAGTGTGGAGTTGAATTGGATGGTTCCCTACCCTGAGTGTGCATCACCGTGTTCCAGAACCTTCCCCCAGGGCCACCGCCGTAGGAAATATTTGTTCATGGTTTGATTCTATAATTGTTTGATTCCATTAATTGCTGACTCCCCTTTATTGTTTGCTTCCTTTAATTGTTTGACTCCATTTAATTGTTTGAATCCATTAATTGCTGACTCCCATTATTTGTTTGATTCCTTTAATTGTTTGCTTCCTTTAATTGTTTGACAAAATTAACTGTTGACTGCCTTATTTGTTTGACTCCCGTAATTATTTGATGTTTGTTGAGTGGTGTCAGAGTTTTGTGTTATATTTTTATAGTAAAGAGATGCCAATCTCAAACGGTTGTTTGTTATTCCTCGGAAAACCTTGGTCCTTGACTTTCCTTTATTCAGATCCTGATTAGCCTGGTAAGGGATTTCTATCCCTAAGTCCCAGGCCTTTATAATATGAGAGCATCAGATATATACCACAAACAAAACCCAAATTTCTTACTAATGTTCCCCAAAATAACAAGCACTTTATATGAATACACTGTACAGTACATAGATAAATACAACATGAAAGTGAATTCTATAAGCCTGATGACCCGTTGGGGACCGTTGACACTTTTCACTTCCACAGTGTTGATATTTGGTTTCCATTTACAACGTATTAGGCGTTTCCTGGGCGGAAACTAACGACCTAATGCGCCAGACATTGCCTCACAGTCCTATAGTCACGCAGTTGCAAATAAGTGACCCTTTATGTATAGAGCTAAACAAAGACATTATTTGAAATACTGTGTAACATTCAATGCCGTAATATCCTGACCACTGGGGTTAGTTATACTGAGCCTTTGTGAACTCTACTCTGTGATCCTTTTGCGCTACCGCTCGCAGGATGAGTATGGGGATGCAAAATAAACTAGCCGCTGTAAATGGTAAAATTATAAATTAAAAGGAGGAGAGCTATTTTACAACTTTTCTCCCACACCTTAAGTATATACTGTATAGTGCATAATAAATAGAACAACTATATTAAGTTACCTAAAACTCCAACCAGAAGAACCTAAGACGGAGATGCCATTACTGCTGATGTAGAAGGGCGTGTTGCCTAGACTGTCGGTGTAGCGGGAGGCGACGACGACACTGATATAGTTCTGAAAGTCTATCAAGGAAAACCCGCCTTCTAACACCTGCTGCAGCGCTTCTTCCGCTACCAGCACCTAATATATAGGGACATCCGTTGCATTTGCATTACGCAGAAAATAAATCATACAGGTTTGAGTTGTGTGTTGTGTACCAGTTTGTACGTCCCTTCTCGTCACTTAGCGTTGCATTCTAAAATCAAACACTTCTTAAAACTCTTAAGGTATGGATCAGTTTATAAAGCAATATAGATCATCTACATAATCTAGGAAGCGTAATAAAGCACTTACTTCCATTCCTTTAAATATCTGGTTCACCACAGCGTCTGTATGCTTTGCGAAATATTCATATGCTGCCCCCTTGTATAGCCAAGGCTCCGTTGCCCATCTCCAGTTTTTCCGGTCCACCAGGTCCTGGAAGCTCTCTGGGGTTGGTGATTTTCCCTGGACTGTCAGATGAGCTATGAGTGAGGACCGGAACCCTGTAGCGATAATCAAGCAGAACACCAGCCACCACCCAACCAATACCTGAATGCATAGAGAAGATAGGTAATGCACCCAAGTTTATTGCTTAGGACCAAGACGTCTTGCAATATTTTCCTTAACTCCTGCGATTTTATTTTTCAGTCGTTAGATAACTAATTATTTTAGAAAGAAAAACTACCGAAAAATGATTACTGTAACAGTGATTTCCTTTTTAGGATCACCATGGAGTTGTCGACAGAGAAGTTGGAAATTATCCTCCAGTCCTTGCATTTACTTTTAAATCTATCGAACTAGTTCTCATGATGCCCTAAGTCAGGAAAACGTATAAAGACACCTCTTATCCAAAGAGTAATTTTCTATTCATCGCGTCTGTTTCCTCTGTCATCATTCACCATATTTATTTTATGGGAAACAAGTGTTAGATAAGATTTACGTTTTCATATTTTTTTTATGAAAGATGTAAATAATATATCTATAAATAAAGAGCGTATATCAAATAAATGCCTCAACTTTGTTGCACGAGATCTTGGTTTCCATATTTAATGAGATAACAAGACAGCCGGTAATACAACATCATCTACCACATTTCTTCACTGCTATAAATTACTGAGAGCAAAACTAGCATGATCAATGGACACATTCAGTGTTTTGTGATGCAGAAAACAAACGCTATAAGCAATGCCACTGACCTGGCCTGAGACGCTGACGGAAGGGTCACTTGGCGGCTGCTCCAACAGCGCCCCCCAGCCATACAGTAAAATGGTATTGAACCTTACAGCACGACCTCCCACTACCCGTGAACTCGCTCTCTGTAATAACCACATAAGGCCGCCCCATGTAACTACGCTCGCCAGTAATGCAAACCAGATGACATCTGAGGAGGAAAGTATACACATTTCATTCTTTGACATTTTGAAATATGTTTTTAGTGCTTTTGTAGGAATAATCCTGAAGTATTTTAATTTCACTCGAACACACACACACACACATATATATATATATATATATATATATATATATATATATATATATATATATATATATATATATATATATATATATATATCATGTAAATCCACAATGAAAACGTGGATAAGATAAATCTTGATAAAATCACACGGGAAAATGGAAATAACGGAGTACCTTGCTTTCGTCTTTATATATATATATATATATATATATATATATATATATATATATATATATATATATATATGCTGATAACCACAAGGAAAGAAGAAAACACGAAGTTCCCAAGCGCTTTCGTGTAATTCACATCTTCAGGGGTGAGTACAGACTAGAGAGAGTAATACAAATCAAGGTGTATATATACAGAGGAGGGTGAGACCAGGTCCACAATGGTCAGGTATTAGGTAATGACCCTACTAATCTTTAAATAGCACACAACGGTTGGTGGTCAGTGTTAGGTTTTGAATAATAAGTTCTATATACAGGAGAGAACACAAACACCTGTATAGTTTTGTAGGTTCGGTTTACTGGATAAGAGTATGTACACAAAGGGGAGTAGTGCTCTCCTCAGCTAGGCTCCTGGTCAACTGCTATAGACGACGTATGGCAAGTGATACATTAGCAGCTTCCATACGTCGCCAGGCACATTAATTAAGCATGTGGGATATCTTACATACATTGCCACACACTGCTAGCTAGGCTGAATAAATAGTACATAAATGGAGCACATACATAATATACATACATAATATATAATCCAGCATACATAATATACATACAGTCAGGTCAGATGGTCAAGTGACCAGGGCCTTCTCACCTGATCACAAATCTTCTTAATTACAAAATTGTCCAGCTTGTACATGCCGTTACTCAAATTCATGTTGAATGCTTCGGTATGTTTAATAAGACTAGATTCTATGATGTTCCTACTATCAATTGAATTACATGGTAATATTGAGGAGGCATTATCCCAGTCAATGCAATGCTTGTTATCCCTCAAATGAACAAACAGAGCATTGGATTCCTGGCCTGTCCTAACACTGTATTTGTGTTGTTTAATTCTAGTTGCAAGATCTTTACCTGTCTGGCCTAAGTAAAACATATTACATTCCTTGCAAGGAACTTTATAAATGCAACCAATTGTGTTGTTGGGGGAGTTCTTGATTAACTAATGTGTGTTCATACATTCATTATTATTCTGCCCACCATAATAAAGTCAAACAGTCAGTATTTTCAACAATGTTTTTACGTGCCTTGAGAATTTGCAGTCCGGAATTCATCGATGAGGAATACAAATATATATATAATATTGGCTCAAACCTTAAATACCCTAGATCTTTCATAGACAAATGCTTAAACATTACTAAGAAAACTTTTTATAGAACTGACCCCAAGCCCACCCATGACCATAAGAATATCTTAATATTACCATTTCACAAAAATTTCTCACACATTCCTGCACAGCTAAAAACCTGGAACGTCAATGTGGCATTTAAAAACTCATGAGAAGGCCGGGTCACTTGACCATCTGACCTGACCACCAACCGTTGTGTGCTATTTAAAGATTAGTAGGGTCATTACCTAATACCTGACCATTGTGGACCTGGTCTCACCCTCCTCTGTATATATACACCTTGATTTGTATTACTCTCTCTAGTCTGTACTCACCCCTGAAGATGTGAATTACACGAAAGCGCTTGGGAACTTCGTGTTTTCTTCTTTCCTTGTGGTTATCAGCATATATATATATATATATATATATATATATATATATATATATATATATATATATATATATATATATATATATATATATATACATAACAAACCTGCAAAGGGTCTTATAAACGAGAGGTGTGCAGGCAGTAGTGAAGGCTTCAGGGACGTCACAACCATAAGATCTGATGGGTAAGCTCGAAAAAACTCGACCACCTTCAGACGTCCTCTTGTTGCCGCCATGATAGTGCAAAAGTCAGATTCTTCCCGTTGGAGTTGACCGATCATCCCAGTAAAGTTACCATCCCTCTCGTCACCAAAAGATCGGTCAGGCTCAGCATATATATCATATCTGCTTGTGGTAATACCAAATAAAGTAGTTTACAAATCTAAATAAGGCTACATTATATAGAAAAGGCGTGGGCAACCCGCGGCCCGAACCAAGTCCTTGTGCGGCCCTCAGAGTGATTGACAATTTTTTTTTATTGTGGCCCGGGGTTCAGGTAGATGCAGCCAGTTAATGGTAATTTAAGTAATGTTTATTAAAAGAATTCTCTTCACACACAATTCATTAGTGGTTCATAGCCTAAGAGTAAGTAACTACGAAATCGTAACATTGAAATACGAATAAATAGTCAACAATATAAACATTTCAACTTGTGTGAGCTTACGGGCCAAGTTCGGCGAGGACTGTTTGATGGATTAACTACTATGTGCCAGTGGGTCACTCGGGAATTATCTAAAGGCGTTTATTGTAAGGCGTTTTAGATGCACGGAATTGCCAAAGCGTTAGCTATTCTGTCTGCGCAGACGCTTCTGCTGAGTTCTGCACATGACACCTTGAGAGGGAAAAGCAAACACCTTGATCAGGCGTTAGAGTGTGCAGCCCCCGAATAGCTAACAACCAATCAGAGAGTTTCTCCTACTAAAACAGTAGGTAAATACACGGATCATGGCCGCTTATGGAGAATATTTAAATTAATATTGAAGAGTTGCGGGCTTATAAGACAATAAAAAACTGATATAATAATAAAAATAATTCTATATACAGAAGTATATTGGATAGAACCTAAAACAAAGCGTATGGCATGAAAGATTTGAAAAGGATTGAGCCTAGTTGAAACCTATTTTGGCTCCTCTCGTTTTTAAGTGGGCGCTATCCTATTTCATTAGCCGTTGTTGACTTTGGTGTAAAAATATTGATAATTACTCAAATATGATTGAAACCTTAATATCATTACTCATAAGATACTTTAAATAAGGGTGAACAAGTTTATTACACTTCTGTAAGTGCAAAAATTAGGACTTAAACGAACATGAAATGCGTCATATTTCGTGTATAAATATGCGAACACCTAGCAGCGAAACACAAGAGTGTGGTTTCAAAGTCCTGGAGAAATTACCTTAACAACGGGCCGATTTTTTTGTGTTATTGTATTGGCCCCTCTTTCATAACAAGAAGAATTATATAAATGGGTTAATTATATTTGATTTATATACTGATTTATCCCCTGTAACTTTCCACGAGCTATGAGGTGACATGTTCAGTGCACGTGATAAGGTGTGCCCACGGGAAGCTGCATCATATTATGCTGAGTTAAGGCATTAAGTAGCCGGCTCCCTGGCCACCTAAAGAGGGCAGTAGTTTGATATCCTTGACTAGAGGAAGACGGTATTTCAGAGCCATCGTGGATGGTTCCGTCTTCCCTCGAGGGAGGACGACGTGCCTATTCCGTTCTCCCCCGATGGGTCACTACTCATAGAAGTCCCACTCATAATTTCACATCGAAAGGACGTGATTAAACGGTCTATTTCCATAGCCACCGTCCTCTCTCTTCACACTCATAAATAGTGGAACAGACAATTGGGTTTCGCTACTCTAAAGCCCAATATAATATATATGATCAGTAATTTATACATTGTGACTAGTTCATTATTCTTATTTATTGTTGACTGACATTTTTTTTTTGTCTTTCAATAATTGTCTATATATTTTCTTCACTATTTCTTTCTGTATTGTGTCTAAATAACAGTTCTCCTAATTCTATTGTTTTCTAAAGTCTGTGTTGTACAACAGTTATTCCCAAGACGCGATACAATGTTGTATTTTTTAATGACAGTCCGGGAAAGCTAACGCGTTAGCGATTCCGTGCATCTACAAAAAACGCCTTGAGGTTGGTTAAGTCCAAGTCCAAGTGGTGTATGACGACTCTGTTCCCTCCTCACTATACCACCATAACCACCACTTGCTCCAACTGTACTCCAGGACAAGAAACTGCTTTATGAAGCTACTCGACCCTAGTGAGCATCGATTCAGAATCAGTTTCCCATCTGACTATAAGACCGAGGTATCGAGGCAAATGTGTCTGCCAGGTAGGCCAAGTCTCTTCTCTGCGGCCTACCGTGTTCCTCTTCTCCCGGGGTGTGGACGACGAATTGTATTAAGGACTACTGCTGGTGGTGTTGTGATAGTTTGATGGTAATGAACTATGGCGTTAATCCCTGTTCCTGGTTGGCCATCACAACCTAGACTTGCTAACTGAGCTGCCATTTCTATCAGGTTTTTGTGTTGTTATATATAGTAGTTGTATTTAATGTTTAAAGTAAGAGTAATCAAGTATTATTCTGGTGTGTTTTGGTATATTTATAAGTTATGTTACTTTTGTTTTCATAATTGCATATTTTGTGTTTTACTCATGTTATTTAATGTACTTATTTAACTATCTTAGTCAATACTTAATGTAAATGTTATTAAATTAATCAGTTTACATGATAATCTTCTTATCCTTTTATAATTTACAGTTGTCTGTCACCAACAGTGATTCTTGTGTGTGCTCCTTAGTTGATGTGTGAGTGTGTGAGTGTGTATATATATATATGCCTATGAAGAGAGATCTATTCAGACAAGAATGAATACATAGAACAGACAGCCATTCATAGAGAATGAGGTACTATGATGACCCGTGTGACCACTGCCCGTTGACAAGTAAAAATGCAGAGTGAAAAATCTAGGGGTTGTTTCATTGTAGTTTCTCATGCGACAAGATTTACAGTGATATTACTCTGGTAGGTGTGTCTCATAAGTTAGAAAAATGCTTTAATTGTAGGAAAATCAACGTATTCACAGACTGCTTCACCCATCTTCTGTTAAATGTCTAGAAACATTAACATTTTACTTAAAAATTTATTAATGGATTATTTTTTCAGAAATGGGAAAAAGGCTCAGATTGCAAACTGAAAATATCGTAAAGTGGACGTGACAAAAAACCTGTTTCTTTGTCCCTGTTAAAACAATACAGTTTTAACATTACTTTTGGGTTAGGTAGGATATAAATTTTGGTGAGATGGCCCGCAGAAAAATACATAAATCGTAATGCGGCCCATGACTGAGGAAAGGTTGCCCATGCCTGATATAGAATATTCTCCTGACAACTGATAAGGTTTAACATAACAGGTTTTTCTACGAGTGACAGATTTACTTCGTATATTTATGATTAATCTCAGTGTCAGATAATCTTTGCACAAATTTAAATACAATTTATGTTATTTAATATAATAGTCTCGTAAAAACATGGTGACAAGGTAAAAACATGGTGACAAGGATTCATCTAAAAAAAAATATATATATATATATATATATATATATATATATATATATATATATATATATATATATATATATATATATATATATATATTTATATATATTTCATGTAAATCCACAATGAAAACGTGGATAAGATAAATCTTATTTTATTTTCGTCTTTATTCAAGATGTCTTGAATAAAGACGAAAGCTAAGGTAATTTTCCATATATATATATATATATATATATATATATATATATATATATATATATATATATATATATATAATTGCATAATAGCGACAATTTTCATGTATTTTTTAACTTCTAGCGGGCCGTAGGCGATCATATACTGTAAATCTTTAAAATACATATAAATTAATAGTTTCATAGAAGACCTAACCTACCCTTATCTAACATACTTTAGGCTATAGTTTGATTAAATGAATTAGAACAAGTTTTATCATATAAAAATTAATAAGGATCATTAAGTTGTATTAATGAAAATATAAAGTTATCCCTATTTGTCATTAGCGAATGGTATAGAAATGCTACATTATAACAAGAAGTAAGATTTTTACGTAAAGTTGAGAGCTGCAGAGAAACTTGTTATTAGCCTGGTATCGAGCGAGTCTCTGGGTTTGACTATGCCTCCCCGCATATTGATCTTCCTCTCGTAGTCCATGTAAGGGAAGTGTGGCACTGATACGATCCGCATCCTGTGGCCTCTGAAGTTCTGGAACTGATCTGAACAGAAAGATGTTATGTTGATTGATTCATTAATTCATCGATTAATACAATTTTCCATTTATGAACTACTTCTCTGACTTATTGTTGCTCTTACTGTGGAAGAGACTTGATGTGATATTCGGCTCTAAGATAAGTTGGACGTCCGCCTCCCCGTTGTTACAGTACAGACACCGCCGGTACACCCACACACGCTCACTCACTGATGCTGACAAAAAGGAAACACATAATTTATCTTGATATCTTCTTTTACATTTGAGTGTTTTTAAAGGCAAAAAAAAAAAGAAGTCACAGTAACTAGCAGAGACATAGGGGTTGTTGCTTACCGTATACGTTATTTATATTTAGTTTTATATTAAAAATATGTTTTAGTGTCTTTGTTCTTAGTAACCAAACCAAAAGTCGCACATGAAAAGTCTTCTCAAAAAGATATCCAAGAAAACAAAATCAATAGATTGTAATGTGAGGAGATTCAATGCACTGTCTTAAGGAGATATACGCCCCCACTGCAGACAGACGAGTTAAGCAGGCTCCATAGGAGGTAAGTTGAGTGATATTAAGTGGTGAGAGCAAACACCACACTTTCCAAATAACATAACATTTGAGGTACACCGGGTGTGGGATGAGTACTGTAACCGGGTAGAAACTCAATACCACAGGAAGGAAGAACATAAGAACATATGAATGGAGGAAACTGCAGCTGGCCTAATGGCCCATACTGGGCAGTCCCGTTTACACCCAACCCCTATTGCTCATATATCCATCCAACCTATGTTTGAAGTTATCCTGCGTATTCGAGTTAATGATGATATTTGGTAACTTGTTCCACTAGTTCACTACTCTATTTCCAAACCAGTGTTTACCTATTTCGCGCCTAAATCTAAATTTGTCTAATTTTAAACTATTGATACGAGTTCGCTCCTGGTTGGATAGTTTGAGTACCTTTGTTATGTCCCTTTGTTCAGAGGGGGACTATCATATCGCCCCTCACTCTACGTCTTTCGAGGGAGTGCAAATTAAGATGCTTTAACCTGTCTCTGTACTCAAGGTTCCTAATGCCCATGGATTAGTCTTGTCAGTCTCTTCTGAATTCTTTCCAAGGAATCTATATCCATTCTGCAATTCGGTGACCAGGATTGAATTGCATAATCCAAGTGAGGTCTCACAAGCACAAGATATAGTTTTAAGATGACCTCGCTAGTCTTGTAACTAACACTCCTTTGTATGAACCCAAGTACTTTATTAGCCGTGTTTCGAGCAAATACACATTGTTTATTTGGCTTAAGATTCATGCTTATCATTACTCCTAAATCTTTCTCGCAGTCGGATTTCTCAATATAATCGTTGTTCATGTGGCATCTGGTTTCTCTGTTTACATCTCCTATACTGAGTACTTTACATTTGTCCACATTGAATTTCATCTGCCATTTTTCAGATCATTCGAATTTTTTTTTTAGATCTTCCTGTAGTTTTGCGGAGTCCTCGTCAGATTTAATTACACGCTCTATTTTAGTGTCATCATCAAATTTACTTATGTTGCTGTCTACTCCGATATCTATGTCGTTTATGTATATAATAAATAATAATGGCCCAAGTACTGAGCCCTGGGGAACTCCACGAGTGACTTTTTTCCAATGGGATTTAGTGCCGTTAATGCTCACTCGCTGTTTCTTGCATTAAAATCACGCCCTAATCCATTTTAGAATATCTCCTTTAATGCCATGAGCTTCCACATTTCTTATTAGTGTTTCGTGGGGGACTCTGTCGAAGGCCTTGTTAAAGTCGAGATATATCATATCATAATTATGCCCCTCGTCCACTGATTCGAAAACAAGTGAAAAGAATGTTAATAGATTAGTTAGACATGAACGCCCGCTTGTGAAGCCATGTTGGGAATCATTGATCAACTTGTGCTTCTCCAGGTGATTTTGAATAGAGTTTGAAATGTTTGCTTCCAGTAATTTGCGTACAATTTATGTTAGACTGATTGGACGGTAGTTAGAGGATAGTGATCTATCTTTCTTCTTGAAAATCGGTATTACATTCACTATCCTCTAGGATTCTGGTACTACACCTGTTTTTAAGGACATGTTAAACAACCTTGCTAAGGGCATACTAAGCTCTTCCTTGCATCCCTTTAATATTCTAGCAAATATCTGATTGGGACCTGATGTCTTATTAGGCTTTAGTTTGTGTATTTGCTTACTAACATCGTTACTAGTCACTACTATCTCGCTTAATCTATTTTCTTCACTATCTCTCTATGTAGTCGGTGCCTCGGGTATCATGTTTAAATTTTCGGTGGTGAAAACTGTTAAAAAATATATATTCAGATTATTGCTCATTTCTCCGTCGTTTTCAGTTAGCTCACCGGTATCTGACTGTATTGGTCCAATCTTTTCCCGTGTTTTAGTTTGATACATTTCATAGAATCCCTTGGGGTTTGACTTCGCCTCCCTTGCTACCTTCAGTTTATTATTCCTCTTTGCTTTTCTTATCTCGGTCTTAACCCTACCGGCCAATACCTTATAATAATCTCGGAGGTAGACTTCACCACGATGTATTTTCCTACTTATGGCCTTCCTCTGTGCAGTCAGAAAATAAACTTTCTTAAGGCTCATCAATCACCCAACGTAAATAGTTGCTCAGCCCATTTTAACATCTCTCCGAGAACTTAGATGTCAATACCCCGCTGAGAGTCAGGCGAATAATATAATTTGGCACCCTGTAAGGACCTCAAGTGACAACACCAGCCATTCCTCCCTGTACTGTACGCTTACAAGGTATAGGTGATTTATTAGTTGAGTTAAAAGTATTTTCGTCACCTTACACCTTCTCTGCCCGAAAAAGTCTCCCTGACAGGTCAACGTATTACCCTTAAAACTCTTGGTATAACCTTTTTAACAATTCAAATGAGCTAGATCTTATGATAAAATAAAGTATCACATAATTTTTATGATAATTTAGATTTTCGTAATATATAAAAATAATCGATAAGATTGATTCCTTAAAATAAAATAATTCTGTAAATCAATTACGGCGCTGAATAGTGAGGTGCACTGACTTCGGTTAATGGCAGTTGCAAGTTAAATATAGGGTGATTCAGCAAAGAGTAAATTAAATTGGAGGGTGAAATCTTTGGATAATTCTAAAGCACAATGTCTCTATGGTAAAATATCAGCTTCTGCATAGTTTACATGTCACAATACATTTAAGATGTTGTATTAATGAGAGTGAATTTGATGTGAAACTCCCTCCCCCTGTAACTGGCTTTATCTCATTCGGTCGTACACGGCCCCTGTCTCATTGTACCAGTGTCAGTCATCTGTATCACGCTGTACTGCTGTACATAAGACATCTGTGAATAACTGATTACAAAAACCTAAGGGAGTTTCACATCAAAGTCTCTCTCATTAATACAACATCTTATAAATCATATATTAACAAATTATACCTCTCATCTTAAGTGTTGTCAGCGCCACAACAGTCTATCAAGATATTACTATGGATACATGACTATCTAAATGTATATACGATAGTTGGTAACATCTAACCTTTTTGTGGGAGGTCCTTCCTGAGGCGTGAGCTACTGTTACGTGGTGGGGTATGGAGGGTAAGGTCAGGAAGAGCTACGTAGAAGGCGTGGACGGTGTTGCGTAAAGTATGGTGGAGGAGGACGTGCTTCACTTCAGCCCTCCCACCAACCACCACCACCCGCGTCTCTGACAACTTCCACAACATAGCAGACTCAAGAAACCTTTAGAGAGATAAATATGTAATATTATACGACTTATCAGCAAATCTCTTGAGAATTTAAAAACTTCGCATCTAATAAAAACAAAACTACTATTTCAGCCGTTAAACCTTACTCTTATTTAGAGGTGTTTATTTTCAACCATAGAATGTTCAAATTCAATGGGCTACACCAAGGGTGGGGAAACTGAGGCCCCCGGTTCATTATTTGGCTCGCCAAAGGTCTCAGGCTGGTCCGCAACCATACTACAGTAGAGTTCAGTGGGTCTCTCTCTCTCTCTCTCTCTCTCTCTCTCTCTCTCTCTTAAGAGGAGATTCAGGCGGTTATATAATTTTTTTAATATATATATATATATATATATATATATATATATATATATATATATATATATATATATATATATATATATATATATATATATATATATATGCTGATAACCACAAGGAAAGAAAAACAAAAGACACTCAAAGACCCAAGCACTCTTGCAGTTTTGACTTGCATATATATATATATATATATATATATATATATATATATATATATATATATATATATATATATATATATATATATATATATATATAAAGAGAAACCGGTGTGTGTGTGTGTGTGTTACCTCAATGGAAAGGCTGCACTGTCGTTGGCAGTGAGGTCAAGGATGAGTCCCCGGCAGGTAGTTCTGGTGTCTCCCCACAGCCCCTGCAGGAGGTGGTCCTGGGTCTGCTGGTCCTGGGACAACACCCACCCTGCCTCCACTACCACGCCAGCCTCCACAGTACTACGTATATGTCTTTTGGGCAGAAATTTGCTAAATATTTATTTCATTCATGCATCTATTTCATTATTATTAGGTGGATGCTAACAAACATACATCTAAATTATCGGTAAAATAGTAGAATAATTGGTGCACTCTAGGCCTCCCATCGTTGTAAAAAAATGTATATAACTCCATCACAGGAACATATTACAACTTAAACCCAAAAGTAAGGCAAGGAAATTTTCATATGTCGGAGCGGTAATAAGACACAAGTAGAAGGAGGTTTGGATGTTGAAGGGGATAAGAAAGACACTAGGATGTAATAAGGTTAAAATCTTTGTTATTTGTTTAAAATCATTTCTTATGACTATGAATATGTAATCATATATTATTTTTAAAATTCATATATCTTCTTCTAAAAATAATACAATTAATTACTTCCAAAATACACAAATAATTTTTCACTTTAATGAAATAGATATAAAAAGCAACCAACTTGATAAGTCCTTGTGAAAGCATGCATCACCTGGAGGTACTGGAGAATACGTGTGAGTGTTGTGTAGTGGTGATGAGCACCAGGTGACAGCCGGTGAGATGGTGCTCCACCACCTGACTCACCATCACGCCCACATCCACGCCCACCTGCTCCATTGGTTCACCCACATTCTCACTATTTACAGATGCAGCGGTCATTGCCGTGACAGCCAAAACCGTTATGTGATACCCAAGTGACTTCATCTGACCTGGAACAAAGGCAAATAGATGTTTTCCGAAGAGAAAGAGAAGAAAGATTATCAACTAAAGGAGCAGAGTTAATAAGACGAAATACCTTTGATTCCACCTTATCTAACAGTTAGACAGAAGAAGAGCCACCCCAGATATGAGAGCAGTACTCCAAGTTAGGACGAATGAATCCCTTACAAACTTAAAGCAACTGCTCAGGAGTGAAGTAGCTACATCATTTGTATATCATTCCCAGCTTTCGGGAGGCAGCTCTAGTAATGTTGTGGATGTGTGGCTTCCATGACATATTAGAGGAAATGGTGAGGCCTAGCATATTTATTTTATAATTTGGCAGAATGATTGCGTCCTTGGGCAAATAAATTTTGTTTAATGAAAAAATATAATTCGTTAAAAAAATTTATTTTCATCTTACAAGAAAATTATGACAGTCTATAAACAATACTTTTATTTAAGTCATAAATTTCGTGACATTATGCAAACACTCATATGGTCGAATTGATAACATAAACCATTGCTATTCTAATTACACTGTTTTCAAAATGTTTAACACAAAAATATTATATTGGTCCTCAGTTAACTCGTATTACAATGAGTAGCTCATTCATATATATATATATATATATATATATATATATATATATATATATATATATATATATATATATATATATATATATATATATATATATATATCATCAGTCCATATAACACGCGGACTTTCATATCCAAACAATACCTCAATAGTCGGGAATCGAACCCGGACTTTTGCGTGTGAACAGGGATCGCTACCACCTCGTGTTTCCTAGCTGGATTCGGTAAAATGCTACTCCCCAGTGCAGGTTCACGTTGCTTAACAAAGGGAAATTAACAGGCTTTATATGAAATATAATAAAGCCTAGGATTGCTTTTGTTGCCCTTGTGGCGCGGTGGTAGTGATCCCTGTTCACACACTAGAGGTCCAGGGTTCGATTCCAGACTAGTGAGGTATTGTTTGCATATGAAAGTCCGCGTGATATATATATATATATATATATATATATATATATATATATATATATACATATATATATTTCATATTTTTATTATTTCATATTAAATGATGTTAATTTACATCCGCTGGAGTGACACAACAATAATTTTTGCCCGTTTGTTTGTAGGTTTGAGCTGCCCGTTCTTTGCAAGGAAGACTCAAGAAGGTCAAGACTACCTCTTTGTTTTTCCTGCCATGGGCTCCCATGACAAGTACGTCGGTGTGGACAATTAAATCCGTGGGAAGTACATTCACTTGTAAATTATTTATTTATTTGTCAAATGGTTAATAATATTAATAATAATAATAATAATAATAATAATAATAATAAAAATAATACTAATAATATTAATAATAATAATAATAATAATAATAATAATAATAATAATAATAATAATAATAATAATAATAATAATAATAATAATAATAATAATAATAATAATAATAATAATAATAATAATAATAATAATAATAATAATAATAATAATAATAATAATAATAATAATAATAATATTAATAATAATAATAATAATAATAATAATAATATTAATAATAATCCATATCACTATGACAAAAAACTACAGTTTATACCCACTGATATGTTATTTCAGGTTCTGTTCTCGGAATAGAGTTCTATAAACTATAATATACGTAAACAATAATCAACTGTGTTACGCCTTTCTCTGTGATATAAAATTACCTAAAGTAGAGTTGTCACAACGAGAGAGAAATGTCTGTATCGTAATTCTTATAAATATACTTAAGGTCATTATCGTTTACCTAGTATTTCACTTTTCTCTCTTCAACTTTCTTGTAACGTAAATACAAATAAAACATAAAAGAATCAACGAATGATGCATATTTCACATGCGTTATTGGCGTAAGATGATCATATTCCGAATATTTTAAATTAAATACTTTCTTTTATTAAGATGAAGTACAGGTTTGTGGAGGAGTGCATTATGTACAGTAGTGGTACGCACTTTCGGGCTCACCATAATACCGTTGAAGCCTCAGATATTTAGCTGACGAATAATGAGACTGTGAGTTCAATAATATTGTATTTATTGTTGAATTATACCATAAAAGTGGGCGAGTCCTTCCACAGTGAGATCTCCTCTGCAGTGTACCTTCCTCCTGCCACCGCCGGATCCAGCGGTACACGGTGGACACACTTGCCCCGGATTCTGTGGAAATATCTCGCGCCGTATGGCCATTAAGCCACATCAATATGATCTTCATACGGTTTTTTAGCAACACCGGGTGTCTGGTGGGGCGGATGTCCATGTGTGTCTGTCGAACAAGATTACCATAGATATTGTACACTGTGACGTCTAGTGACATTACTAGTAATGTAATATATAAATCAAGATTTTTATGCAGTGTCCGGCCTCAGAAGCAAACACTCACTCATTCTTAGTGTTCATATGGTATTACCCATTAGCGGCATATTTACCCCCAAACCCAGATAAAACAATACTTTCACATTATTATAAAGAGCAACTTACTATCAGATGGTTAATACTCACTTGTCTATTCTTATTTTGTCTTGTATACATATAAAAAAAAATATATTTCTATATATCTATCATCAGCCCATATAGCGCGAGAACTTCCATATATAAACACTATGGTCACCTCCATACCTCTATAATTGTTTTCCACCTACCAGTATCTGCACACACACTACATCCTCACCCGAGGTACTTACCTTTTACAAAAATGTTCAAGCGGCAACAACTTTCTCGATGCAGTAACAACCAATAAATGCCCCCAAGAGCTGCCTCTATGATGTATTTATACGCGGTAGGCAGCGAGTAGCGAGTACGCAGTGGTGAGGGGGCGTTGCTTACTTTGATCGCGTGAACTTAACCTTTGATTGTTTTGCAGTGAAGCCAACTGTCACTCATTGTGCTTGAAACACCCATTTGATGATAAATTCAAGTTCTCATATATTGACATAAAGATTTTACGAACTTTTCAGTTTGTCAAGTACTGGACAGTATAGATGTAGGTATATAGTGATAAGATACATCTTAGATCTCTGTAGCAAGAATAGTGAATATTGAACTTAAACAAAGGCAATAAATTTAGCCAACTATAACTAAGGTTTTAAAAATTCAGGCAACAGGAGAAACCTGTTTCACAGTGTAATCCTAATCTTCTGAAATGTACACACTGTACTATTTACTAAAAGTAACTTAAATTCTAACTATTCACTTGAACGATCATTTATTAATTACTCATGTGTTCAAATCTCTTTAGGCAAAACCTAAACGGCAATTCACTCCAGATAGTGAATTTGCCTCTTGGAGCATTATATATATATATATATATATAAAGACGAAAGCTAAGGTGCTCCATTTTTTCCCTTTTCTTTGTGTGATTTTATCAAGATTTATCTTATCCACGTTTTCATTGTGGATCTACATGATATATATATATATATATATATATATATATATATATATATATATATATATATATATATATATATATATATATATATATATATATATATATATATATATATATATATATATATGTACTTTTCTTTTTTAAACACACAAAGCAGCACAAAGTTATAAACACAATGGTTGGCCATTCACAAAAAAAAACAGTTGAAATCTCGTTACACATTGGGGGTTTCAACTGAACTAGTAACAGATTTTGCTATCGTAAACTCCCTGACCTCTCGTATGTCTATGGGAAAGGGTCGCGGAAAAGGGGCGTGATTGCTGCCCGTATCATCATTGGGTAGGACTTTGCTTGGGAGATTGGCATCCCCGCATCCCCTCAGCAACGCGCTTGTGCATTATGCAGAAGACCAGACAGCCGCACCCTTGTCCACTACCTCCTAAGATGTTCCCACACACAACGCTTCCGTGACGCCTGCTGGACCACCACTCCACGACCCCTTGACGGAGACACCATGATCCTCCCCATACTGGCCAGATATTTTGTAAACAATATTGATGATGTGTTGAAGGAAAACCCTTCCTTCCTTAGGCTTTAGTAAGCCCCTTTATAATATTTATATATACTTGTGACACTTGCCAGATGATTCTGGTGTTATTGTACGGGGGTACCTAGTGACAGCACTAGGATCCCGCTTCCTCTATCAAGGAATAAATATTGAAATTAAATTGAATTGATTTTGCTATACTGACCTCCATGTCTTTACTCCGGAGAGTTTTACCCTCAAGTAAAGATCAGGGCAATGTTTAAATCAAACCGTAACACTGGAAGTTTGTCAGGTTTAAAGAGGTCTTCAGTAGTATAAATGTGAGTGTAATGCGATGTGTGTTGACAAAACAAAACGTTAACTTAAGGCCCTTATCTCTGAACACATGGGAAGGCCAGTTAGGACAAACAGGTAGTTTAGCAATCCATCACGCAGTGTTATTCGTCAACAAGCTCTTGAGGCAGACCATCCCACATGAAGCTTTTTTTATCTTCATTATATATACAATACTAGCAGAGTTACCCAGCGTTACCCGGGAATAAAAATCATTATTGGAGATGTTAAAACTTTGGAGTAATTATAAGGCTGAGAAATAATACAAACATGCGTTGAGTTTTCTTTGTTGTTTTCTGAAATATCATGAAAACAAAATGATTTTGATACGTGAAGTGATGTTCTAGCAAACGCGATTAACGGTTCATAATGTTCTAGGAGACACCATTAACTGCCGGTAACCTTCCAGGGGACGCCATTAACCGCTCATAATATTCAAGGCGATGCCATTAACCGCTCATGATGCTCTAGGAGCCGCCACTAACCGCTCGTGATACTCTCGGAGACGCCATTAACCGCTCGTGATGTTCTAGAAGACGCCATTAACAGCCGCTCATAATGATCTAGAAGACACTATTACTGCTCGTGATGTTCTAGGAGATACCATTAACGGTTCAAAATGTTCTAGGAGATGCCATTAACCGCTGCTGATGATGTTCTAGGAGACGCCATTAACCGCCCATAATGTTCTGGGAGACGCCATTAAGTGCTATAAGGACTGACGAGATATTAGACGGGTCAATATACTATCAGACCACCAAAAAATCTAACATAAAATATGTCAATGGTTTTTGGCCCTACTGGGTGTTGTGAACGACAGAAAAATGTCTGACCACCGAAGTGGGTTAAAACTGGGTCAGCTCCAAGATGGCCGCCGCTGACCCTGAAAATTAGGTGGAGAACAATATTTGTTGTATATAGCCTGGGTTTTAAGGGTCAAGGAATTCATTGGTGCCAATAAATTTTTAATCCGACTGCTCCTTAAATCAAAGATTGCGGCCAACATCCTGAATGAAGGCACCAATACCAATAACTCCCATATTATTTTACCTGAAAAGCAGTTTTAGGACCAAAGAATGCAAATATCCGTTGTTTTAGAGTAAATTTATTGACATGTTTCAGAATAATATATTTCAGTGAGTACACTGAAAGATTCAGGGAAAAATATTACACATACTAAATGCAATAGTGAAACAACAACTGTCACTCTTCACAGTCTCAGTTTAGTCCTCAAAACTGTCCTCTAGTTCCTCTGAAAACTGGTTGTGCAGATTGCCACAGAGACGTAAGTTGGCATGATCCACATGAAGAAGTACATGGAAGCCCAGATCTTCTGCAACTGCAACCACTTGCGCAATTGCAATGTACCATTTTCAATAGAATGTCAGGTGCAGCATTCATATCAGACATTATAGGTACAAGTTGATTGTCTTCAAGTCTACAGCCCATTTCAGAGGATCAGTATCACTCTCCATCCCCATCCCCCTCATGGTCTGAAAGTACACCCTGAGACAATGGAATTTGGTGGAAGACTCGGTTGGGGGAAGACGGTCGGACATAACAAATGATTTTGCAGAGAGGACTTTCTTAGTGAGTATGTCATAACGCAAGGCTGCCAGAGAACATGTGCTTTTCCCACCAAACATAACAGCCATCGCTGTCCTTGACACTACAAAGAATCGCTGGAGCAGTAGGCCAGGATCTATGGTTCTGCCAGGAGCAACCTTGACAGCAGATGAATTTCCCAGGGTCTTTGTCTTTACTCTTGAAAGAGAAGGAAAAAACATGCTGTCCAATCATTCTGTCAACGATGTTCTTTCCAACGGATCCGTATTCATGCACATTGACGTCTTCTTTCGCCACCATACCATTGATGATATTTCTCTTCGAAAGGTGTGATGCGTCTCTTGCAATTCTGGCGTCAGTTGAATCTTTGTGTTGTTCACTTGTGGTGTATCTGAGATCAATGAACTCTGCATGGCAGTCTTGAACTCAGACATTATGGGGGCTGACATTGTCCACTATGCTTGCTGTTCTTCCGTCATATTACTGCCATGAGGCAAGCCGCCTGTGCCTTTTAGTGACTTCATAATTGTTTGCTCGATGACTAGATCGCAACCGAGGCCTGCCCAAAACTGATTTGTTTGATGAATGACATGGAAGCCTTCTTGAAACTTCCTGTAGATATCTGGGTGTTTGCTCTCCATTTCACTCATTTTTTGGGTGTAGAGAGAGGCAGACTTCTGGTAATTGTAGTGTCCTGCTGCAACAAATATTGGCAAGGTGTCGGAAACAGCACTTAAGTGATTCAGCCAAGACCCAGTGCAATCTGCTTTGATCAGTGCTCGTGCAGTACGAAGCATCCACTGATATATTCAATATATTCAAGAAAATAACGCCGAAAGAAAGTTAAAATAACTAATATCTAATGAAGAAAAAAATGAAGCAAAAACCATTGTCCTACATCACATCGTTTGGGAGTGTTGGCCGCCATATTGGCCGCCATCTTGGATTTACGGATTCTGTGGACCAGTGAATGCCAGGACCCTTAAAACCCTCGGTTAGATTATTGTTCTCCACCTAATAATAATAGACCGCGGGTAGAGGCTCGATATCATTCAATTCCGTAGTACCAGTCAAGGAACTACTTCAAATGAATTTTTTCTTGTAAATTAGATGTTGCTTATCACGAATATGAATGCTCCCAGTCTCAAAAGTTGCACGTTAGTTTCTCTTTGACCACTGGTGTAAGACTGAGACATCGCACTCATTGTTGGTCACGGGGATGAGTGTAATCTGATTCGTGTGAATAATATAAAGACTGCTGTTGAAGTCAAACCAATTCCAGCAGTGCATACAACCCAAGAGGAAGCAGATACCAGGCTGCTCTTACACAGCGCTCACGCTGCCAATACTAGTGAACACATAGTTATAAACAGCCCAGATACTGATGTACTTTGGTCGCTGTAGCTTTCTGTATGGACATTGATGTCGAGTTGTACTTCCATACTGGTAAAGGAGATAATATGCGCACAATTGCTCTATGCCAAATATTTGGCCATTTTGGTGGGGAAGCCTTCTTTCATTGTGTGACCGGTTGTGACTGTTAGCATGGAATAGGAAAAAAGAACTCTGCCAAAATCATGATATCAAATCCTGCTCACTGTGCAGCATTAGCACAACTTGGAAATGTATTTGAGGTTTCTCAGACTCTATCTGATGAGCTGGAGGCATATATATGCGAGCTATATGGACAAAAGGATTGCTGTGATGTAAATGAATCACGGGTGAAAAATGTTTAAGTCTGGCAGATATGGAGAATGTAGGTTACCCCCGAATAAGGATTCCCTTCTGAAGCACATACAGCGGGCCAATTATCAGGCAGCAATATATAAGCGATGTCTAGTTCAAAATCCTGAAATACCGCCACCTGAAAGTAATGGCTGGAAAATAGAAGACAAAAAATTGGTAGTCGATTGGATGACTTTTCCCCCAGCACCATTTAGTGTAATGGAACTTGTGCATTGTTCATGTAAGAAAACAAAATGTGCACAAGGAAGATGCACATGTCTCCATAACAAGCTTCCTTGCACCGACTTGTGTTCATGTTCAGTGTGTCATAATTCAACCACTACCCCAGAAACAGTAGTTGCTGAACAAGATATAGACTCGGAAGGTTCAGATGATGAACTTTAATATCTGAAAAATATAGTATATTGACCACTGGTAGACTATGTTCAGATCCTAAATCAATCATACTAAATTCTGTACAGTTGATCCCACTTTCAAGGGCACATTATAATAATAACAGAGACGTGTGTAACAGTGTTAGTCTCTTAAACTTTATAAATGATGGCAAGGGAGCACCACATTAAAGGAGCTGCCTATTTGTGTTGAAAAACTGAATGTTTGTTTCCACCAATAACCAGTCCTTTAAAGTCGCCCTTTTATGTAGTAATTACGGCTTGATTTGATGATAAATCTTCTTTCTTGTATTTATTAATAATTCGTAATAACAATTAATACTAATCATTATCAATTATTAGTAATATTAATAGTAACAAAAGTAATTTCTTATGTGTAATATTTTTCCATTATTTTTTATATTGATGATTGAATTTCTTCAATATTTTGTTATTACATTTTAGCCGATGTGTAAAGCTATTATCTAGAATTAATATACTTATATAAATGTGTTTTAAGATGTCCAATTAAGAGTTATTAAATATATATCGCTTGTTGCTTTGTATTGTTGTGCCTGCATTTATTGAAGGTTTTAATGAACATCAAGTAATATAAGGCTATAAATTATGGTTGGTGGGGAATATTACGCTTAGCAACGAGAACATTCTAGGCCTTTAAGGTGTACAATAAGGCTATTTCCATCAACTAATGCTAGTCGCTACCTTTAGATTTGGCTTAAAACAATGTTGTACTCTAAGGTAAACATCTCCATAGCAGCCAGTAAATTAGAATTTATCAAATTTCTACCTAACGTGCAAGATTTAAAGTTGGGAACATGTCATTTAGGGTTTATGGATGTTCATATAACATAACTAGCATATTTATAGGCAGTTCCCAGGTGGGGACTACGGATCTCGAAAACTAAGCAAGATAGCTGACCTCGGCCCGTGGTCTATAAGGAAGTTACAGCTGTCTACTTGATTTTCAGGGTCAACGGCGGCCATCTTGGAACTGACCCAATTTTATCCCACTTCCAGTGGTCAGATTTTGATAGACTTTTCTTCGGTCGTTTACAACACCCAGTAGGTCAAACAAACACTGAAAAACCTTTTGTTATAATTTGTTTCGTGTTAGGGTGTTTTATTCATATATTGACCCGCCTACACAGTATATATGTGGCCTCGTGTTTCCTAGCTGGATTCAACAAAATGCTACTCCCTCCACACAGTGGTCACGGGCAAACCCCAATGTAGGTTCACGGCGCTTAACAAGCAAGATGAATAGGTTTTGTGTGGAATATAACAAATCCTAGGGTTAGATTCCCGACTAGTGAGGTATTGTTTGTATGTGGAAGTCCTCATGCTATATGGACTGATGATATATACAGGTATATGGAGGTGAGTTAAAATTAAATCTTCATTTTTGTTTCTACTAAAAGCGTGAAAATAACTTAGACACAATTATTTGACTTAAGAAATACAAAAAACAAACCTGTTTACCAGAAATTATTATCTCTGGGGCCGCATACTCATAAGCATTTATGGGACGGTATTTCTTTGTTTACCCTATAACTGGAGTTACAGTCTCCGATCTGTATACCCAAAACAAATATTTGGCGAGTCTGTATTCGAGGCCTTAACTTACAGCACCTCCTTAGGTGCTCTAACACCCTCAACCCGGATATAGTAGTCGCCTTTCTCCCGATTGCATACAAAATTAATAATATATGTTGTTATAATACTTGTTAGACTTGTTTTGTTTTATCATAGAATTATGAAGAAAATGTTTTGTACGTCAACATACTAAAATACGATATTACAGTTTGTCTTTTTAGTTCATTTTTTACCATAAGAAGAGGCTTAAGTGTTTCTATTTCTCGCTGAATGGAAGAGATGAAGCTTTTGTCTTCTTACAACTTATCAAGTAATTTGTACCAAAATAGAAGATTTGTATTGCCCACATTTATGGTACAAATATTTTTTTTATGACAGTAAACTTGCAGTTAGACCTTATTAATGTGGTATAGCCGTAGATGTCCGTCAGTAATGAAAGCCAAATACGAGGTCAAGTTAACATTTTTGCCTAGATTCTGCCTTCTTGGTATGGCTAGGACCAAGTTATAACAAGCTATTCTGCCAAATAATACCTAACCCAATCTGAGTTCATCAAACCTAATAAAGAGAGGGGGGGTAAATTAACAGTGGTATAGCATTTTTTTCTTCGAAAAAGAATTATGTTCATAAGTTTCTTATCCGATACGTTTATTAGTAATATTTTTCGCTGCCAAATTAGTGAAATGTATCTTACCCTAACAGAACCTAACCTTACCTTATCTAGCCTAACCTAACCTAAGAAAGTTGCAATGCACATGATTAACAATTAAATTCTCTAAAAAAAATCAATTTCATTTAAAAATAAATTACATTTGTAGAGATGACAAACGTTTTATAATAATTTTTCCAACATATATATATATATATATATATATATATATATATATATATATATATATATATATATATATATATATATATATATATATATATATATATATATATATTTGCTTATTTTGATCAGTGGTTAACCATTAACCTCAACAGGTAGTAGGCAGCTATCAAACAGGGAGGTACTACCGCCTGGGAAGATATTGGAAACATAATGTGGTGTCTAATGGTAGACCCTGCTGCTATATGGCATCACGAAAATTGTGACCAAATCCCAGGTTGCTGATTTGTCTTTCTACCTAAATTACACACAATTGCAGGGTCTCAATTATTTCTCTTACTTGACAACACAACATACATATATTGTTTCTCACTATTTCTGTTTATTTCTTTATAGTTCTTTATTATTATTATTATTATTATTATTATTATTATTATTATTATTATTATTATTATTATTATTATTATTATTATTATTATTATTAATATTATTACAGTGTTATTATTATTATTGTTATTATTATTATTTTATTTTACTTTTTATTATAAATTTTATTTACTATGAATAACTATTACATTTTCGCCCCCCAGGCCCTGATGTGGGTCAGTGACCTGTGCCCTTGTGGGCTGATCCCCGTAAAAAAAAAAAGTATTACTCAAACATAATTCCATCGTCAGTTATGACGCTTGAAGTCCGTCTAGCAATTATCAAGTGCGTCGATTTCAGCTGATTTCTCCTTCTCTTGTGATTGGTTGATGATTTTGTTAACTGAGCGACGATTGGCCAACTAGCTCTTGCACTGCCATCTACCTTCAGACAAGAGAACTGAATTTACAATGTAAGCATTAGAGTTACGGACTGCTTACGGACCTGTAATTAAATTTTAAGTATGAGAAATTTACAAGACTGTAAGGAGTCTGTAAGTTACGATACCGTATCTCTGCTACTGTACGTAATTGATGAGGTGTTTTGAGTATGCGGCCCTGGTCCATATAACTCATATTCAAGAAGAATTCTAATTTCCCAAGTACTGTTTTTAGTAAACTTATAATCTATCAATTAGGGCTTTTTCTGTGTAGCAAAACGTTATTAATTAAGGAGTATCCTGTTATGACATGCCATAAACAAATATTAAATAAAAATCTGAAAAAAAGACAATAAGAAATAAAAGCCTAAACACTTGGTCACTATTGGGTCAAAATTTGAGCTTCCTCATTGAAAAATTGTGATGTGTATCGCCTGGAAAAGTAAGGAAGAGTTCGAAAGAATATGAAAAAAAAAGGCTTAAACAAAACGAAGGAACCACTGTGTTTCCCCGACCTCTCTCCCCTTTCACTCCAGCCTGTGACGGGGGAAACTCGTATAGTTAGCGGTTAGTTTTTGCCATTTTTCTGAAACTGTGAAAAAAAATCTTAAAACCCTGCAAAGTCTTTTGGATTTTCTTATAAATTCTATCCAATATAGATGCGAGTATCCACAAGGGTAATTAGTATAACCTCCACTAACATAACAGTCAAATTTTCAATATTTTCTATTTGGTTGGTCTTGTACAGATCATATGGTATAAATAACTGGTGAACATATATTATTTACCATTGTTAGCATTCTCAAATAGATCAAAATATTTACTTCACAGGATAGTTAGCCCTTTTGTCTAATATTTGAATTTTGCTGTATTCGATTTTTTATATTCCTAGTATCATCATTCCTCAGGTCTGGTGGTAATCGCGAAAGTTTTGTTGAGACGAGGATGATACTGGACGATATACTCCATCAGCAGGATGAGGATGACGAGGCCGCACCCCAGAAACAAGAGGTAGAAGGCGCCTTGCATGTGCTGCATCCCTAGGACCATCTCTTTTTCGTTACTCTGTGAAAATTATGAAGGTGTTACAACGAGGCTATGAACAACTTTTGTCTTTCATTATCAAATCATTAGATCACAGATTAGATTTTTGTGTACCCTCATATCTATAAAAATTTTAATCTGCAGTCCTTCCTTTGTATTATCCGTTTTTTTTCTTTAATTTTTGTGTTCTTATCTAAGTTCAGTCTATTAAGAAATATGTTGAATTCTGAATATTAATTGTTTCCTATGCGCTCATGCATTGGTCCGCCGGCAGGTTAGAGGATCTCTTTGTATAGTGTTTCGCCTCCCTACAGTAATAGGTCAAGTCAGTGGTCTCCATTATTTAGATTTTCTCTCCCTCACTGTAAACATCTGGGAAGTGGCAGAATCAAACTCTAAATGCACACCATAATTACTTACTGAGTCAAATAAAGGTTAAATTCTTCATAGCTAAAATTAAATTGGGAGGAAATGGAATTAAAAATGGTAAAATCGTCTTATCCGAAGGCAATACAGATATCACTGCTACTTAGTTTCAGATTATGGCGCAAAAAAATAAGTAATGCACAAATGTGGTTCCTAGAGAGAGAGGGGTGATGCCAACGTGCACAACATTTACCAGGGTTGCAATAGGGTCCAGTGCAGCAGCTGCCCTGTTCTCCTTCACGCGCCTGGCTATCACGTCATCAGTCCAGTGTTGTATAATGCCAGCGTCAGTCAACCGTAAAACCATTTGATGAAATCGCCTGTAATATGGTGCTCCTTTCCTAAGAATACAAATGTTATGTAATAATTATGCTAATACTTAAATACTGCAAATAATAACATATGTTTAATAAATTATCATTGTTTCAGATAGCAGCAGGGTGTCCACAAAGTGTTTCTCCGGTTATAAAATTGCATTATAATACAATCAATACAAAAGAAATACCGTTTCCTTTAAGTCGTTGCATAACCAGTTATTATTAAGTGATAGCTAAATGAAACTGGAGATCAATTAATAGAAACCCCAATGTTTCATCAAGCCAGGTTGACTGCCCTAATGTGAGAATATGTGGTTTGAAAACTCTACATGAGTATAATGAACATATTTCCCGATAACCAAAAACTTCATGTTTGATGTAGAGCAGTGGTGCTCACCCTTTTTGCGTGAGTGGGCCACATCAGAGGGGCAACTGTGTAGTTAGGGCGGCACGTATACACATTACTAACATTGATTATTAAGTATTAACCATATATTGTAAACTTAAGGCAGGAATCATAATCACTGAGCCGGATGGTTAATTCCCAACTAACCAGGTTAGTTCACATATATTATATTGGGCTTTAGTAACGAAACCCAATTGAAGTTTCTTGTTTTATTAGAAAGGTATTATGTTTATATGATTCCTGAGTGTAGATCAACCGTAAGTTCCACTATTTATGAGTGTGATGAGAAAGGACGGCGTTTATTTATATAAACGTGAATCAACGTCCGTTCGATATTAGTTGGTGTGAGTGATTTTGAGTAGTGGCCCATCGAGGGAGAACGGAATAGGTATGTCGTTTCCCTCGAGGAAAGACGGAGCCATCCACTGCGGCTCTCAAATAACGTCTTCCTCTAATCAAGGGTACCAAACTACTGCCCGCTTTAGGTGGCCAGGGAGCCGGCTACTTTATGCCTTTACTCAACATAGTATGACGCAGCTTCCTGTGGGCACACCTTATCACGTGTATTGAACATGTCACCTCATAGGCAGTGAAAAGTTACAAGGGATGCATCTGAATATAAATCAGATGTAAATAACCCATATATATAATACTTTCTGTTGATGAGACAGGGGCCATTACATCGCTCGGTTACCACCGGCCAAGCTCCGTGAGGCCTAAATAAGCTCACAGAGTACAATACATCCTATACAACCCTAACCATGTTATAAACATAGGTGTAGACACTAAGCTGTGGATTTTACTACTGTAGGGGTTTTATCTACTACAGGGGTCCTATACTTCAGTGCCTTTTGGGTTAAAATGTTATGAACAATTTTTATCTTGGATGACACTGACTTATAATAACAGAAAAAAAACATGACTTCAAACACAAGCAATACTGCCAATATCAAAAGCAACATGGCAGAAATAATCTTCGCCTACTTCGTGTTTAAAAACACATCTTCTTAGCAATGTACAACTTTTGCTACTGTCATCACGCTGTATGAATGGGTGTGTGGTGTTTAAGACTCTGTCAACGAAACATTCCTTTGTGCAGAGAGCAATGGTACTGAGTTGTGAAGGGTTGAACACGGCATGGCTGAAAATTTACAGTCTGTGATACTTTTGTAGAACTAATACATTTTTATTTTAAGAAGATGTGTCTTTGACATCATTAAAATATGTAGTTTGAAAATTATGAACATTCTTATCCTTCCTGGGATCAAAAGAAAATGTCCACATATTCTATGTCTAATAAATACCGGGAATTATTTCACATCAATATAAATTAAAATAAGTAAGCACTTACAACAATGACAATAACCTATCGATGTCCTATCAATGTGGAGTTATGTCTCGAACATGTAAATGTGTGTATATATTTAATGTATACCTAGATACCACCTATTTCTTGTAGGCTTGATTGAAGAATTCCTTTCTAGAATTTCTTGATAATGTGAAATTGTTGCCGCAATTCCGTAGACTTGTGCGTGTCACTCACAAAGGACTCCAAGGTCCGGTGACTGGGTCAATTTTCACGAAACTTCTGAGTACAGCAAACTACCGCACCTGGTAACACTAGGTCATCCACCACACCATACCTCAGAATGCTGAGACCATCTTTCATGGCCAGAGATTTGTCATCACTAGGGTGAGGTGCTGGGGTGCTGGTAACTGGGGTTTATTCACACCATACGAAAGAATTTTGTTGACAGGATGTTGATTGATTAGTAGTCACAACAACTGCAGTCACGTCCTGTCGCACCCTGGGCAGTGAACGAATCATTTGCAGAAACTAATGTTCACATCAGCTCACAGGATTGTTGCCATAATTCAGCAACTTTTAATAACTCAGTATTGGTTATGGACATAAACTCAACGTGTAGCATATTTAACAGTTCATCTTCCTGTAGCAGTAAATGTAACACTTATAACAATATCTTTTATTGCTATTGCATATTTACACTTACGTTATATATATATATATATATATACTGTATATATATATATATATATATATATATATATATATATATATATATATATATATATATATATATATATATATATATATATATATATATATATATATATATAATCAACGACCTCACCAGCCAGGAATCTTACCCTGGACCTACTGGTTGGGACTAGGGAATGCTACCGACCAACCCACAAAGACACTAAAAGCAGTCCTAGACTGTTATATTTCACACAAAGCCTGTTCATCGAGCTGATGGCGCCATGAACCTCATTGGGAACTGCCCGTGCCTCGTATGTGGTGTCAGTAGTATTTTACCGAATCCAGCTGGTATGAAACACGAGGTACCATATATATACTTCATTTTTAGTCCGTATAACACGCGGACTTTGAACATATAATCAATGACCTCACCAGCCAGGAATCGAACCCTCGACCTACTGGGTGGGACTAGGGAATGCTACCGACCAACCCACAAGGACACTATAAGCAGTCCTAGACTCTGTTATATTTCACACAAAGCCTGTTCATCGAGGTGATGGCGCCGTGAACCTCATTGGGAACTGCCCATGCCTCGTATGTGGTGTCAGTAGCATTTTACCGAATCCAGCTGGTATATATATATATATATATATATATATATATATATATATATATATATATATATATATATATATATATATATATATATATATAGATATATATATAGATATTGATATAGATATTGATATAGATATTGATATATATATATATATATATATATATATATATATATATATATATATATATATATATATATATATATATATATATATATATATATACATATATACATATATATATATATACAAATATATATGTATATATATATATATATATATATATATATATATATATATATGTATATATATATATATATATATATATATATATATATATATATATATATATATATATATATATATATATATATATATATATATATATATATATATATATATATATATATATATATATATATATATATATATATATATATATATATATATATATATATATGTTCTTCTAAACCAGTATGTCTATGTCACAGTAATGGGGAGAACATAATTCCTCTACCTTTACCAACTGTGTATATGGTGTTATGACTGTTAGTTGTAACAATCACTTGAGAAGTTATAGAGGTTCACTGTGTATGAAGTATTTTACTCTTTAAATACCTATACAGGAGTTAGGGCGTCTGTATAGAAAACGCGATCCACAGATGGTCCCAGGTGGGGGGTGCTGGGTGGGTAACAGCACTCTTCCCTCCGCTATGAGTCGGGGGGCGCGCTGCATGACGAACGCCGGGTGAATACACTTCACCACGGGGGAATATCTTCCACAGAATGGTCAGGTGCTGACAGACGCGTTCCTGACCCCTCTCACTTGTCGATAACAGGGATTTCACGTCAACAATAACTCAATTGCGGTTATTGGGAATAATTCTGCACCATCTTTGGGCGACAGAATGAGAAACACTCAATAATTATCGTCTCAATACGGGATATTCTTAGCACTCGGACATTGTTTGTAACGCGTCACTGTAGGGTGTTTGTTTTCTAGTTTCACAAAACACCGACGCCTTGGTACGTAGACTGATATGTTGTTTTCGTACTCACACGAGCTGCAATTCCTGATGTGTAAATCACCGTGTCTTCCGCTATCTATGAGCGTGAAGAGAGAGAAAGAGGGTCACCTACCCTCCGTTCAATGTAAGTTTGGGAGTGCTACTCTCTGAGTAGTGACCCATCGAGGGAGAACGGAATAGGTACGTCGTTCCCCTCGAGGGAAGACGGAGCCATCCACTGCAGCTCTCAAATAACGTCTTCCTCTAATCAAGGATATCAAACTACTGCCCGCTTTAGGTGGCCAGGAGCCGGCTTCTTTATGCCTTTATTCAGCATAGTATGACGCAGCTTCCCGTGGGCACACCTTATCACGTGCATTGAACATGTCACCTCATATCCAGTGGAAAGTTACAGGGAAATCTGAATATAAATCAGATGTAAATAACCTATTTATATAATACTTTCTGTTGATGGGACAGGGGCCATTACATCACAACACCTCTTACAGAATTAGTATTTGTTTGTATATATATATATATATATATATATATATATATATATATATATATATATATATATATATATATATATATATATATATATATATACGTACCTGAAAGACCAGCCAAAGGCAGCTATTATTTTAATTCCAGTTTTGCTGATGTAAAAGGGACTTTGGCTGTAGCTGTCAGTGTAGTGGGAATCGATGACGACGGTAATGTAAAATCTGGGAGTGATGAATGAGTTTCTTCCTTCTAATACCTTGTGCAGTCCCTCAGTAGCTGTCAAAGGCTAGAGAACAAATATAAACACATAGCTTTAATAACACATATACTCATGGATCTAGAATCTACATGATATATATATATATATATATATATATATATATATATATATATATATATATATATATATATATATATATATATATATATATATATATATATATATATATATATATATATATATATATATATATATATATATATATATATATATATATATATATATATATATATATACTAATTAATAAGGGTTTATAGGACAAGCCCATCCCCCTGATTGACCCAATTAACTTAAACTACTTCATGGCCCCATATTTTTTATGGAATTCACAGTTAAGTTTACTTGCCTCCATTCTTCGATTTATCTCTTGAACGACAGGGTCAGTGTGCCTCGAGAAATATTGTCCGGGCGATCCTTTTAACATCCAAGACTGGGTACCCCACTTCCAGTTGTCCAGAGACACCAGATCCTCATAGGTTTCAGGTGGTTGGGACTTCCCCTGGACTGTCAGGTGAGCAATTAAAGACGAACGATACCCTGTGGTGACGACCAGACAGAACACCAGCCACCATCCTACCAACAGCTGTAAGCATAAAGTGAAGGTGATGATCAAGCATCCGCCACCCACATCTACCTGTAAACATAAAGGTAATGACTAGGAACCTGTCATCCATCAGGTGAAAATGTTAACCTATGATTTGGTTTATGAAGCGTTGTAAACTAGTGTGGGTGGTACACTTACTGTATACTGTTGTGTATGTAAGTTGAGAATATGGATGAAATGTGTGTGGATGTTAAATCCTTTTCCTGTTGCTTTCTACAATTATCTTACTCCGCTCTAAGAAATGTGTCTCCCCTTCTCAGAGTCTTCTGTACTCCTTGGTCCACCCACTCAAAAGTAGGAGAGGAACAAAATTAGCAGATAGAAAGACTTACTCTGCCTGAGTCATTGACGGGAGGGTTTGAGGTCGGCCGTTCTAATAGCACGGCCCAGCCATACAGGAGGGCTGTGCTGAATTTAACACCACGATCTCCTGTCACCCACCACCAGGCATTCTGCAGCAGCCACATAACCACGCCCCACGCCAACACACTCAACAGTAATCCTCCCCACAGTTCTCCTTAAGAAAAAAATGAAGAATTATTTAATTACTTGACGCTTTAGGCTCCTGTTAGGTTGTTAAGAGTTAAAATACCGTATCTCTCGCCCAAAAACACAGAAGTGAGTAAAAATTTGGTTGCTTGTAAGGTCTGGCGCTTGGGACATTTGCAGTGTCTTTAGTGGCGATTTTCTAACAATGGTGTTAGATTTGTATGAAATAAAGTTACGATAAAATATTTTGTAAAGACAGAGATGAGTCACTGTTAAATCTATCCTTACCAGTTGTAAAAATTTACATAAATTCCTTTTTCATTAATGTCCTATATAAATGCGGAAAAAATATTGTCTTGCAATTAAATGTTTAAAAATAGTAACCAAAGAAATGTTTTCGACTAAGTTAAAAAACATTATCAAACAAGAAGTATATTGCAATCACAAAGAATATAATGATATGAAAGAATGCATAATGCTGTCAATATTATGGTTTCATTATTCTCTGCCTAATTCACTTACTTTGCCTAATAACAGAAGGGGGCCAATAATCTAAGTAGGATCCCTCCAGTGTTCTTGACAGTTTTGTACAGGGTTATTTTGAAGCCCAATACCATTCTCGTTTCCACATCATAAACTGGTAGGTTATTTCTTAGGTCTAATACCCTTTCTTGAAGTATTTTCTTATATTTGTCTTCATGACAATTTAGTGAGCTTGAAGTTGTGTTCACTCGTGTTAGTGACGCGTGACATCACGACAAATTTATATTTCCTTACATTTTTTATTCCTTCCAGACTTGTGATGTCTTTTCGAGATCCGCTTTGTCTTGTCATGTCAGAAGAGCTGTCAGTTCTCAGACCCTCAGTCTAATTGGATAATCAAGATCATATAGGTCAGTAATCATCTTAGTCGCTCTCAGTTGCACCTTCCTAGGATGTTATATTTTTCTGGAAGTCTGGTCTCCATACATAATATACAGTACGAGACTTAAAAAGCAGAAGGAGCACCTACAGGTACTTACTATACAGGATCTTTGCATTTGAAGTTACGGCTGATTATTTCTAAATTTCGGTTATATTTTAGACTGCTGCTCCAACTTGTTTCACTGCCTTCACTGATGGTCTAAAACGATGTCAAGACCTTTTTCCTGCTCAACAGTGTCCACGAAGTGTTATTCACAGAACAGTTGTGATTAGGAATGTCTTATCTCAAAATATATTTTTCAGCCAAAAACAAGATCATTGTGCAACTTTGAGGCTACATCACATAGTTACATATAAGTCATTTATTTCAGTTTTAGTTGAGTTCTTACATTTGTTTCTTTATAAGAAAAATATTGGGAGCTGTCCCGTGACTTGTACTGTTTAGGTAAGAAAGTTTATCAGTGGTAGACATATTCTGAAACACAGTTGAGCGTTTTCTGTCTCATTATAAATACACTATATATATATATATATATATATATATATATATATATATATATATATATATATATATATATATATATATATATATATATATATATATATATATATATATGTATATATATATATATCGGCTTGGCCATGTGAATAGAGATAGTTCAGCTGTTTTAGGGTCACGAGTGTGACCTCTTCTTACATGCTTACTGCATGTGAGTCACATTATAGTGAATGAATAAAAAATGTAAAGTGTATTGGTCATTATTATATCACTCAAGGTGTGATTATATGTTACTATTCCATACAGAAAAACAAGGATTCAATATGATATCAATAAATCCTTCTCGGGTGCTTTTATTTCTGTATACTGTATTGGCTTTCTATCCATGATCGAGTTGAACTGAAGAAATTCTTCAAAACAGAAATTCCGGAGTAGTTAATTAGTGTAAAACGCTCCTAAAAGTTTGTACTATAATTTTAGCAGTATATCACTATAGCATTAGAACAACAATACACTAATTTTAAAGTTTTTGTGATGACTAAATTTGCCTGCTAAAACCAAAGTAAATTACTCGTACCTGCAAATGGTCTAATCAGAGACAGGTATTGAGGTAACAGAGTAGGCTTCAAGGATACCGGGCATACCACATCAGCTTGATAAGCACCGAAGTTATCCAAGACAACACTCCGCTCTACAGCGGGAGCCGTGGGCATACCAATGTCTATCTCTTCTCGCTGGAATTCGCCCATCATTCCAGTAAACTGGCCATCCTCCAATGTACCCCAAGCACGCTCAGACTGTGCTCGAATCTCAGAACTGTAGGTGATTACTTGCAATTTAAGGTTGTGTTGTTAAAGTTATACTCGATTACTTCAACATCTAAGGTCCTTAAGTGCATATACTAGAAGAGTAATTACATTAGTTGCCAACAAAAAAAATTAAGAGATGCATCTCAATATATATATATATATATATATATATATATATATATACTGTACATACCTGCAGTTGAGTGCTGGTTCCAGAACAGAAAGCAGTCTAGCGTCAAGGCAATCTTTGAGAGTGACGGTACTGCCTGGCTCACTACTGTCGGGCGTGTAGTCATTGTATGGGAAGTAACGAATTGCTGAGAACTTCATCTTAAGGCCCATGAAGTCATGAAACCTTTCTGCTGAAAAAATCGTCAAGGCTTAGAGACTTTAATAGAGATTTTAGAGACTTTTCTTTCCATAAGCAAAAGAGCTACTGAGGAGGCACTAACCAGTTAGGCCAAGGCAACGTACAGACAATGAAATCTTTTGCTTCGATGCAATTATCCAAGTTAGACGGAACCATGTCAACGATTTACAGTTTTAATCTGCAAAGAAAAGAAGTACTGTACCTGTTTTAATGCGTTTGGTGAAATAGAAACAATATTTGAGGAAGACAGTATTGGTGGGCAGAGCACCTGAAAATATTCTATGGCTGAGGAAAATATTCTATGGCTGAGGAAAATATGAAGTCGACACGATCTTGGAGGACAATATACACTTAATTCTCTTATTAAGTTATTCATTAGAATTTTAACCAATAAGATTAGATGAAAATAAGAATATAAATCACAAGAATGTTTAGACAATATGAGTTAAGTCAGGAAGTTTTGTAAATTTTTCTCTATGAATTAACTTTAGTATTCCCTTCCTTACTCCACATAGGAAACAAGAAAACATGAAGTGTAATTCACATTCCCAGGGGTGATTACAGTCTGTAATCAACCTTGAAGATGTTCCGACTGACAAATGATTTACAAGATAATATTGGCTCTTTCGCTAGGCCAAGGTGTGAAATATCTTACCTTTGGCATAACTAGTTAGAATGGACTACCTACCTACCTACCTACCTACCTTGTTAGATTGGACATCCTAGAAAAGTTAGAGATCAAAGAAAAGTAAGCTGTAATGAGAGAGAGCATAAGGATAAAATTAGCTATAATACATGGGATGGGATACGACTATTCAACCTCTTTGTGGTGTAACTGACCGAGGTTAAATGCAGAGAAAAATAAGCCATAATGAAAGAGAACCTAAGGATCAAAATAGCTGTAAATCATAGGAGGGAATACGACTTTTCTACGTGTGTGCATCGGGGCTGTGTCTGATCTGGTTGGTTGGAGTTTTTTTGAGATCACTACATATAACACCATCCATCATCACTACATATAACACCATCCATCATCACTACATCACTCCATCATCACTACATATAACACCATCCATCATCACTACATATAAGACCATCCATCATCACTACATATAACACCATCCATCATCACTACATATAACACCATCCATCATCACTACATATAACACCATCCATCATCACTACATATAACACCATCCATCATCACTAAATATAACACCATCCATCATCACTGCATATAACACCATCCATCATCACTACATATAACATCATCCATCATCACTACATATAACAACATCCATCATCACTATATATACCATCATCCTTCATCACTTCATATAACACCATCCATCATCACTACATATAACACCATCCATCATCACTACACATAACATCATCCATCATCACTACATATAACATCATCCATCATCACTACACATAACATCATCCATCATCACTACATATAACATCATCCATCATCACTACATATAACACCACCCATCATCACTACATATAACAACATCCATCATCACTACATATAATATCATCCATCATCACTACATATAACATCATCCATCATCACTACTACATATAACACCACCCATCATCACTACATATAACAACATCCATCATCACTATATACATCATCCATCATCACCACATATAACATCATCCATCATCACTACATATAACAACATCCATCATCACTACATATAACACCATCCATCACTACATATAACATCATCCATCATCAGTACATATAACAACATCCATCATCACTACATATAACATCATCCATCATCACTACATATAACAACATCCATATCACTACATATAACACATCCATCATCACTACATATAATACCTCCATCATCACTACATATAACACCATCCCATCATCACTACATATACAACATCATCCATCATCACTACATATAACATCATCCATCATCATACTACATATAACACCATCCCATCATCACTCCATCATCACTACACAACATCCATCATCACTACATATAACACCATCATCATCATCACTACATATAACACCATCCATCATCACTACATATAACACCATCCATCATCACCACATATAACACCATCCATCATCACTACATATAACACCATCCATCATCAACAAATAACACCATCCATCATCACTACATATAACACCATCCATCATCACTATAACATATCACTACATATAACACCATCCATCATCACTACATATAACACCATCCATCATCACCACATATAACACCATCCATCATCACTACTACATATAACACCATCCATCATCACCACATATAACACCACCCATCATCACTACATATAACATCATCCATCATCACTACATATAACATCATCCATCATCACTACATATAACACCATCCATCATCACTACATATAACACCATCCATCATCACTAATACATATAACACACCCCCATCATCACTACATATAACTACATCCATCATCACTACATATAACAACATCCATCATCACTACATATAACATCATCCATCATCACTACATATAACATCATCCATCATCACTACATCGGTAAAGTAGTTTCCGAGATTCTCTTGCGGACACACAAACAAACAAACACACAGACATATTTTTTTGTTATATATATATATATATATATATATATATATATATATATATATATATATATATATATATATATATATATATATACACGGGCAACTTGTTTCCTTCCGACAGAAGTTTGTATAAAACAGCGCGATTTGAAAGTAAAACTAACCATTAAAGAAGAGTTCATCAGTATGCTGGGGAGGGGATGTGAGGTTCCAGTCTTGGATAAGTTGGACGTCCGCCTCCCCGTTGTTGCAGAACAGACACCGCCGGTACACCCACACACGCTCACTCACTGATGCTGCCACAGGGAGGGAATTAGCCAGTGGCGTAGCTAGAGTGTGTGCCGCCCGGGGCGGCCCTTGAGTTTGCCGCCCCCCCCTCCCGTGCCCCCACAAAAATTACATATTGCACAGTAGGGGGCAGTGAAATTTTGCTCAAAGCTGCACTCTTCAGGCATTGTTCCTTATACATATCTAAGACTCCATGCCAAATTTGAAGCTGATATGTCGAGGTTAAGTCTGCCGCATTTTCTACTGAAATCTTTAAATTTACCTACAGTACTAGCCAAACAGCCGCTGTGGTGGTGCAATGTTCTGTTCAGTGTTTATCAACTTTTTTTTCATATCTCTTAGTTCATTTAAGTTGTCTTGTTGCAGATGAGTATGGTGCTATGCCTATATTGATTACACTGGTCTGCATTTGGGAACTTTTTTATTTTTATTTTTATTCATGTATGTGATCTTACATATTCTTGGGTTGCTGATTTTACATATCTCCACCATTTTGCTCTATCACGTAAGGATTTTTAATAAAATACAAATTCATGATTTTTAAATATGATATAATATAATAATATATAATTAATTATTAATGTATTCCAAATAACCATGAAATTAATTACGTTTATCATGAAATGAAACAGAATAATCAACATAAAATCTAATGAATGTAAACAAAAATATGCTCCTAATAGTTAGCCTACATATTGATTCAAAGGAAGGAGGACCGCTTTGATTTCCGCTTGTGCTGTGCATGAAATGAGAAAAGGCTGATAATTATCAGCCTTTTCTCATTTCATTTCTCAATGTTGTGTTACTGTACTGTAATGTAGGGGAGACCTGGGTAAGTTAAAGAACTGCTGGCGATGTAAATGTGATGACGGAAAGTTTGCAGATGTCTCAATGATTATAAAGATGGCCGCCCAGGACTGTTCAGAAATATGGGAAAAAGCAATTGGAGATAGGCAGAATGTTCCTCTTCTTAGCCAAAAAAATATTGAGGAAAGGTTGAGAAAATTGTACAGTAGAGGAATTGAACTAAATAAGAACAAGAATGTAGGCAAAAAAGCTGCATTTCAGGTAGAAATGAAAGAGTTGTTTGATATCTGTAGCTGTTATTGTCCCCTTGCCTCCTGTCAGGATGTGAGGTGCATAGTTAAGGAGTGTGACGGATATCACCTGGCATGTAATTGTGTTATAAAAGTTCCCAAACGTGAGGTGCAGTTTCTCCTTGACCAGCGAGGTGATAGGAAGATGAAGATTGCAGGGGTTGACATGAAAGTAACGAAGATGTGGGACAGAGTGACGGCAAGAGAGAAGCATGATGCGGACAGAGTTAGGAGACAGCTTGAGCAAAAACATAGATATCTGGTAGCTGGAGATATTCCTTATGTTGAGGATAATTCAGATGATTCAAGAGATATTCCTCTCGTCAATACTGATTCTGATTTTGTCCCTGATCCAAGGGCTCTGACAGACACCAGTTCACAGAACCGGACAAGACTCCCTACACTGGCTGCCGCTTGTGACCGATACTTGATTAGTGATTATGCTGGAGCTGCCATTGCTACTGCCACCTTAACTGACTATGGCATTATCACAAAGGATGACAAGAGTCAGGTTATTGGACCACATAAGCTGCGGGATGCGAGACAAAAATACCGATTTAAGAGGCAAGAAATTGAGATGGCTAGTTTAGATAATTTGACGTCACTCTATTTTGATGGTAAGAAGACCGCCACTCGTGTGATGATAAAGAATGAGAAGACCGAGAAATGGAGTTCGAGGATGATGGTGAAAGATCATTATGTCATCATGGTTGAGCCTGGCAATGAATATCTCACACATGTGACTCCCAAGACTGGACACGGAAAGCAGATTGCCAAAACTATTCACGAGTTTCTGGTGGAGAAAAATCTAACCCAGCAGCCCATTGTGTGTGTTGGTTGTGATGGAACCAATGTAAATGTAGGATCAGAAAATGGAGTCATTCATCATCTTGAAATGTTACTTGGTCACCCGCTCCATTATTTCATATGTCAGCTTCACGGAAATGAGCTGCCTTTCCGCGCAGTTTTTTATCACTATGATGGTAAACCAAGTGGTCCTGAGCATTGGCGTGGTCCCATTGGAAAGCAGATCAAGGAGTCTTTGTCTGAGCTTCCAGTTGTCGCCTTCCAGCCAGTCAGTTTCCCTGATTTCCCTGTGTTTAATGATGAAGTGGAGAAAGATCTGTCCTGGGATCAGAAATACCTGTATAGGATTTGTAAAGGAGTTATCACAGGTGTTGTTGAAGATGACTTGGCTGCTATTGAGCCAGGTCCTCCCTGTGTGTCAAGGTGGAACACCTTATGGAGTAGAATCCTCAGGCTGTATGTAGCAACATCAAGACCCAGCCATGAGTTGAAAAGAATTGTCATTACAATAATAAAGTTCAGTGCTCCAATGTGGTTTTACATCAAGATACACCCTTACGTAACACACGGCTCAAGGAACGTATTCCAGTCCCTGCTATATATGAAACACCTGAATAGTGAGGAGGAGACGATAGTGAAGAAGGCTGTCCAGAGAAATGCATACTTCGCCCACACAGATCAACTTCTTCTTGGTATGTGTGCAGATGAGGACATGACTGTTAGAGAAAAAGCTGTCTCAATGATAAGAAAAATTAGAGAGGAGAATCAGCAAAAGGAAGAATGCACTGGCAGATCTGAAGAGGAGGAGGAAGATTCTGATGCTGCTGTTGACGAGAATTTGTTAAACTATACTGATGAGGAGGGTAAAGATGGAGATGGGAATGAGGATGTGCCTCCTGTAGTCAACATGAGAAAGGTGGTGACTCCGAAACTAAAGTGGCAAGCAAAAAACTATCATTCCATGATTAACTGGAGGAATGAACTCAAGACTGAGCCTCCTTACATTGCTTCTCTGTCAAATCAACAGGTTAATGACATTCTTGAGACACCATTAGTGGTGCCCAAGTGGCCAAACAGCACTCAGGCGGTCGAGAGAGGCATAAAAGTGATGACTGAAGCTTGCACTGAAGTGACGGGATACGAATCGAGAGATGGATATATTAGGCAAAGATTATTGTCTAGGAAAATGATGCCAAGGTTCCGCACAAAAAAGAATTTCAATATGAACTTGTAATGATTTTCTATAAGGTGTACCTGTAAAATAACATGTGAATTAAATCGATGTCACCCATGTAAAATTTATCATTATCCTGGAAAACATTAAATGGCACCTAATTTTTGGTATACACTAAAATTTGACAAAAAGTCGTTCGCGATGCGGCAGGGTAAGTATGCATGAAATGGCATGAAATTTTGCACAGGTGTTTGTTACAGCCATACAAACGATGCCTGAAAAGTGCAGCCTGCAACTCCAATAAAAGTGTTTTTTCCCTGCCCCCTATTGCACAGTGACTCACTCTTATATATATATATATATATATATATATATATATATATATATATATATATATATATATATATATATATATATATATATATATATATATATATATATATATATATATATATATATATATATATATTAAATAGTTTGTGTACCATTATAATATTACTGTACTTTCACATACTCAAATATAGTATGCTTTAAATACACACCAAACATACTTAAACTTTATAAGTAACAGTTAAACAAAAAGCAAAAACGACATATAGGATAGGGAAAAAAGTAAAAAAGTGTAAAAAATTAGGACCATCTTTATTTCTGAAATTAAAACTACAACTTTCTACAAAGTAACTTTTCTTGTTTTTTTGTTGGCAAATTCTTCAATGACATTGTCAAAAACTATTTCATCTGTCAATTGTCGCTCTATAGACAGTATGGCAAGATTTCTCAACCGCAAGGTGCTCATAATAGATCTTAAGTCATTCTTGATCAGTTTTAGTTTCGAAAAACTCCTCTCACAGGTAGCAACACTAACAGCAATTGTGAGGAAAATCCTCAGCATTATTACTATATTTGGAACCGAGTTCCAAAGGTTATACTTTTGAATAAACTGCAAAAGTTCAAGGGGGCCTTCTTTCCACGTCTGTATTCTGTCTTTAATAGTTATAGCAGCAACAGCAACAAAATGCTGAAGTCTTTTTCTCTCAACGAGGAACTCCTCTTTATCAATGTCGTCGTGATCGTGATCTATTTGACACTCATATTTATCATCCAAAAGATTCAATGGGGTAAGGAAGGCATATTTCTCAGCAAGTTCATGAAGCTGTTGAAATCTCAAAGTTATTTCTTGGATCACTCTGTCTAGAGAAGAAAACATTTCTCTCCTCAATTCAATGTCGTATGGCAATTCAGCATCTAGTGATCCTTCACCAAACTATTTAATTATGTCCGTAACTTTTGAAAGCCCTTACTGTTGTCAGACAAAAGCCACCCCGATCAAAGTAGGGGGCTTTTGTCTGGGTGGCTTTCGTCTGGGGGGCTTTTGTCTGGGTGGCTTTTGTCGGGGGGGCTTTTGTCTGTACCCCAGTGAGGATAGTGTCTTAGTATACAATCGCAATGCTGTGAAACAAAATCTTAATATTTAATCTCAGTACCGCAGCAAAAGTCACATTAATATTTTTTAACCAATACTTTAATATTTCTTACCTTATAGTATTAGGTCTTCCAACGAAGTAAATAACTGGATCGAAAACACAAGAGAACTTAAAAGTCGTCTAGCCTCCCCTCGTCTTGTCACGATGGAGACTTGTGCAGAACTGAAGTGAATTGCTTGTAACTGGTGGATTGGTCGGCTGTACATGAACTGATATGACCCGAGACTGCATGGTTTTGAAGCTACTGGAGACGTTAATCCTTCCCTTTGTCTCATCGGCAAGTTAATCCTCGTTGTGTCTGACCTAACATCTGACCCACACCACATGAGCTCACTGGCGTACTTGTTTGAAGTTGTTTCCTTAATCCTCAACAGGTTACAGGTTGTGTGTGTGGCGGGGGGCCGCATAGCAAGGGTGTAGCTCATGACGTGGCCGTGATGATGTGG